AATATCTACCGACCTCCCCATATCAAAATATGGTCGCATATGTGATTTCAACTTACCAACTATTGAAACATAAAACATTTATAACATTTTAATCTGTCCCAATAAATTGGATTTCAGTGTAATATGTAATAAAATGTATAAGTTCAACGAATGTAGTTGTATTATAAGTATAGTTATATTGTGTTGGATTTAAAATAATGGTTTTAGAAAGTAGTGTGGAAGAGATAGAGATACTTGCAGGAACACAATATTTGTGTCTGAAAAAGGTTAAAATCAAATTAGTTATAAATTATCATAATAATATACAGACAACTATAGTGATCGTATTAAACACAGCTTAATAAAATATTTTCAACATGAAAAAGAATTTCTAAATATTTATTTTAAAATCCATTACAATATCACAAAATGTACCGAGATGAGTTGAAATTAGATTAGACCGCCAAAAAATGAATGAAAAATATTAAATAGAAAATAATTGCATTACAAAATGGCTTACTCAAAGCATCTGTGTCGTCGCTTGGTATTATCAACTGACAAAACTGTGTATTTATTATGTAAACAAGGGAATAAGCACTAAATTCTTAACCTTTGTTCAAGCGTAAACACATGCCAAATTCAACATTCATTCTAAACTATAATTTCCATGGAAAACAAGTACTCAAATAAAATGTACATAAGTGTAATTTCAATAACACTCATCTAATCGACCAAATAATTACTAACAAAATAATAATTGGCAACTGACAAGGCGAAAAATAAGTTTAGTTTAAATAAAACTATACGCAATAATGAATATATATATATCAATAATATATATTCGGATAGACATTTATTTACAGTGATTTTTTCTTAATATTCTTAAATAAGTATTATTGATTGTTCTCTAATTCTCTATAGACTTAGTCGATACTTTTTTTTTAAACTGTCATATTTATTTTGGTTCTCGCCCATACACTTGTATAATATATGGACCACATAATCCCTGTTTGAAAATTAAAAAAACTCCACAAAATAATGACCATAAAAAAATTATCGTTAAATATTAATGACTTTCAGTTATTAATTAACGCATTTATAATTCATATACAATCATACGGATTTATAAACGGCTTTATTATGACTATTTACCAAATTAATAATATCGTGTTTTTGGATAAAAATTTAAATAAGAATTAAACATTGTACTTGGTTCGCTATTAAATTTAATTCAACTAACACGGCCAACCTTTTTTATGGTACGGAAATGCACTATAAATTTCATTAAAATGAACATGGAAATAAAGTTGCCACGAACAACACTATCAGACAATTTATTTAGCAACTTTTCGAAGTATACAAAGTCGAACGGCATTGTTACATTTATAACCATAAAGGTGTAGATTAACCGATATTATTATTTGAGTATTATATTCAATTTATTATGTTTATATTATTATTTAAAAGTAAATAATACGTAGGTATAACTTAATTATTTTAGTAAAAAATATTTTATAATTATAATTATACCTGCAAGTTTCTTAATATACCATATTTATTCTCTTATTGCGCAAAAAGTTTGTTACAGAACAATAAGAAAAAATTATAATTTTGTAACTGAAACAAATTTGACTTCGCCAGTGTTGAATGCAAAAAATAAACGCCAGACGTATAAATTACTGATCGAGGAACTTTCACCAAAGAAATGTTGTAAAGTTTCAATGTTATAATTAAATTCAAAAAGATTACTTCAAGGGACTACTTTGCATCACATTTTAATAAGATTTCTGATACACTTCAAAATTTAAAAGTTCAAACCTAAAAGTACATTTAAAAATACATCTCAATGATTATGGTTTTGACAGTTTAATTGTTTTTAATTTTTTTGTAATTTGTCTGTGTTATTACCCAAAGAACAATACGTTTTCAAGCTTCATCTATCTTAAAATAACTCCATTATATTCATTTTACTTTTAAACTATAGTTAGGTATAATTTCATGCATAAGAACTAGAGCATGAAAACAACACTTAAAAGTTTCTACTTTTAAAAAAAAGTGTTATTATATGAAGTGTGAAAATAATAGACTGCTTTAGTGCCAATTTGCTTTCATTCGTTTTCGTCGTTGTAGCAAGTTAATGTTTAGTTTTTTATCGACAAAGTACAAACTGACATAATAATAATGTGTTTTAATTCCATAAAATCATTCAATGAAATATATCTTGATTTATTAGTCAGAACACAGAACTTTAGAACATATTACTTGTTTTACCAAACTTTTTGTTCAGTTTTGTTGAATTAAGCGATTGTATTGCAATATTTTTAAACAAATGCTATAGGTCTATAGGTCATTATCTAACAAATAATAATATATTTGATAAAATGTCCTTGATGTAACATATTTTATGTATCCAATAATGTATAAATTAGTGTTAATATATTACAATCGTAGTACTCGGATAAAGTGTTAATCTAAAGATATAAATCTCAAAGTTTATTCAATTTCAAAAAGTAATAAAGTACCATATATTTACTATCAGAATGAGAAAAAAACCCACATTAGATTTGACAGTCTTCAACATTTTTATGATATTATCGCCTCTGGGAAATATACAAAAACCATTTTCTCTACTGAGTATTTCAATCGATATCTTTAATTTTTCGAAACTTTTGTTTAAATAAAAAAATGTAGCGATCACATTTATAGTTAAAAACTTAAAACTTGTCGACTATGACACATTTTATAAGCATATAAGTTTACATACAGGTTGAATATATATATATATAATATTTTTTATAAGTTATACGTCATAACTCGATGGCAATAGGAAAAAACGTATAAAAAATAAAAATAAAGAATTAGAGAAAGAGCCAGAGGATGGAGAGGTAGGTGAGAAACTTTATCATTTCAAAGTGGTCCAGAAAATACGGGTACGACTATTGATTGTTGTCCATACGACATCTGGCGAGCTTACGCGAGATTTCTACGGCAGGGACGGAGTTTAATTATGGGCCGAACCGACGACGACTTTTACCGGCTTTTCTGTGGCAACAGAGGGTTTGGAAAGGGAACGCAAACGGCAAACGCCAACTTTGCTAGAGAGTTCAATGGGCCAGGCAGAGAGGACACATTAAAAGTATAATTTATTAAAAGAAAAACTTATTCCGGGACAATAAATAATAACTTTGTATTGTGTAGAGGAAAAAAATGCATGTTCAAAAATCTTGTCCGGTAAAATTGTTCTGTGATCCGAATTGTTTGTTGTCCAATATCGTCAGCTGTTGTTAACATTATGATTTCCCCACAACTCTTAGGTATGGGCGGAAATCTATTTTTGCTTACTAATTGATCTTGGAAATACTGCAGTATCAAAAATGCAATTATTAATTTAAAATATTATCGCACGGGGGGACCATGTCAAATATTTTATGCTATTAAAGTATTAACTATATAAGATAACCTGTAAAATATATATATAATATTTCAACTAATGTAAGTTTTCATGGGGCTTATAGACTTTGAAACTATACTGAACCAATTGGCACCAAATTTTGCATGCGTATGTGCCTCGAAACTCGAGAAGTATATGTCGGTGCGTTTTTCAATTCCTGTAGGTTGCCAAAGGATGGCGCCCACACGTAAATTTTGTTTTGGCTCAAGAAGATCAAATAATACATTTTTGTCTACAGGGTTACCATTGGTTACAGAAATAAAATCGACTCTTATAATAATATTATATTTTATTATAAAAACAAGTGTGTATGGTTGTAGTGTATACCACTAAGGTTCAGCAGTAAAAATGAAAATCGGCATCGGTGCATCTCGCTTTGAGAAAAATTTTTATCGAGGTGGGCATCCGCCTGTGATGGATGGGATATAGAACTTGGCAAATTAAATATTATTTTCTAAAAAATTACCTTAATATTTCTGTTTTTTTCTTAATTTTTGTTTTAGTTTTTTTTTCGATTATTTTAAAAATCAGTGGGAATTTTCCGAAAACCCCACACAAATTTTGAAGAATTTTTCTGTCACATTATCATAAGTTCAACACATTAATTACTCCAATCAGAATCCAAGATATGTTCTGCCAAATTTGGTTCCTATCAACAAAAAAAAAACTTCGAACTTCACACTTTTATGCACAAAAATATATCTAATGATGAGATAATTTGACTATTTTATAAATTATATAAGTCCCACAATTGGAAATTCGTACAACATATTTCCATAATCGTACAACGTATCTCACCCTGAAACATGTAAGGCCGTAAGGTATAATTACAATTATAACAAATGAACATTATTCTTCTGAGATAAACCATGCCATTTGATTATAGAAACTAATTTAAGTTTGTATTATTTTCACTGGGTAAGTATATTAAGAATAAACTATTTTTGTACTCGAATAGTTGTCGCTATTTGTGAGTTGGTACTTGATGCAATGGCTTTCTAAATGTATACATGTAAATAAGTTAATTTAACTTTTTACAATAAATGTAATCAACCTGTGTTATTTTTGAACTAAATAATTACTCAAATATGATTAAATAATAAGCGACTAAAATTATTTAAAAAAAATGTATATTATTGGTCAATATTTATGAAAAAATAAATAAAAATGGCAAAACCTTATCAAATAAAGTGAAGTTGGATACAAGTTATATACAAGTTGTACCACTTGATTATCAGGCAGATTTTGTTGATCTATACTACCTAGTTGTAGATTCCAATGGTGGTAAAATAACTGAGTGCCTACTTACTGTTTACTTTTAAGTTTGCAGAAGCCAGTATTGGTGAAAAAATGAGTAAATTGTAATACACAATCATTGTTATTATGTTGTTATGAATTTGAGAAAGGCTGTGTGAAACGTGCACATTGTATTATTATTAAGTGTGCAGATATCGAGATCATTACTTAAGTTTTTTATTTTCATTGTGTTTCAGAAAGCGTTCAAGGTAAATTCGAGAGGCAACTTTTGGATGACCTCCTAATAGAATACAACCCTCTGGAGAGACCTGTATCCAACGAATCCGATCCACTCGAAGTTACATTTGGCATCACGCTACAACAGATAATAGACGTGGTTCGTATACTTGGGCTATACACTTTATTCGATCATAAAACGTTATTGTGTGGCAATAGTATAAAGTGCAATTTACTCGATACAAAAAGCAAATAGCACAGTGGCGTCAATTCGTAGCTAGTTTGAAACGGCTTAGCGTAATAATATATAAATCATAATTTAATTAACTACGCTGCCTGAATAACGGTTAATGATTTATATACAAAATACGATTGCGATCACTCGTTATATTGTATGTTAGTATGTAAAATATATTAATATATGATATAACGAATGAACAGTAAATTCACAGCATCATTTTTTAACAGGAATACTCATTTTTGAAAAAAAAATTTTTTTTATTCTGAAATGCACTTCATTAAAAATATAAAATGCATGCGATTCTACTATCTCTTAATAACCTAATTGTTTTACTTTTAAATTTGTTAATGAATCCATTATTAACTATTGATGTTTAAATGGCAAGCTATATTTTCAATTTTATAATCTGAAGTACAATATTTTTAAGAAAATGTTGGCAGGTAGTTTTCAAATATAGAAAGAATCGATTGCTATTTAAAAATTAAAATTTTATTCTGGTTTAACTATCAAACAAAGGTGTGAACAAATAGGATCAAAAAAAAAAAAGTTTAAAATGCATACATCGTAACTATTCAATAGTACAATAGCGGTAGTGTTGAAAGTAAAGTACGTTTCGAAACATCTTAAAATTGCATAGAAACACTGTATTTCAACATGTTCTCTTAAATTACTTGGATATAAGAAAACAAGCAAGAAAATAGTTGCACTAATGTGTAAAATTAAGAATATTAAGCGAGCTAGTAAATAATATTGCTATAGTAGAAAAATAAATCAGTCATGGAGTTGATCGGTTAGTACGTCGACATAATGTTGCACTACTGCAACTTATAGCAAAAATAATATACCAATTTATAACCATAGATCGTTATTACAGAAAGACAAAAATATTTATTATTTACCCGTTGTAATTGAACAACTGCACATTTTAACATTTAATGTAAATATATAAAGAAACCGTAGTGGTTAATAAATAACTGGTAACCAAAAACGTGACCTCAAAATAAATTCATAATGAATCTATTCTTTAAATATTTAAGCTATATTTTACAATAATTTACAAACCTTATCCCCCGAGGCACTGTCTAGACAATTTTCCTAGCTAAGGTTTGCAAGGGACTGATCATGTTACGAAAAATCCCTAGAGGTCGCCCATACGAGATCAATGGCATCGGTTGACAAGGTTTAACTTTAACACAATGCAAATTGTATAAGCAATATTACAATACATTTTGGCTTTGACGGCTTATAAGAGTCGTATACAAAGCGAAACGGAAACATAAATGTGCATGAGGACTATATTGCGGCTGGATAAGGGTTTTTAGACTAACAAGCTACGATCGATCAACCAACAATTTTGATATTGTATTATTTATTTAAATCTCAGCCGCCCTAAAACTCAGCGTGAAAGCATACTAAACAAAAATTATAAGAATAAATAATTTAAAATGTTGTACTAATGAATCAATATAATTGTTCACAATATAATATGTGATTATTTTATTACTGAGCTTTAACTCCTAATGAAGTGTAAGTCATAAATCACGATTATAATATAATATAATGTACTACTAAGTTCGTAGACTAATAATTACAGTATATTATAAAGTCGAAACACATAATAAAAAGCAATATGCTGTATAGTAGGTTTCGAGTACATCTCGTCATTGAGTAAGTTTTTGTGTAATTAATGATATTTTATTTATTATTATTGATAAAATTATACCCTGTGACATAGACCATTGGGGTGCAAATATTATTTACATCGATAAATTACAATTAGTGATATTAAGACAAGTTATTGTCACATATTTATAGAATTTATAGGATTTTTTTTAAATTTTGTTTCGAAACTTTTATTTTATGATCAATTCGATGGTGGCTGGGAATGAGGATCTATATTGTATCCGAGAGATTCAGCAAGGAGTTCCGGAAGTTTTGAAATCGATCTTGGTTCGGAGAATGAACGACATTCCGTCATTAAGTGTAAATATGTAATATTGTTAGACATGTGCCTCGTGATATCTGCATATTTGAGGGTCATTTTTACTCATTAGATGACCGTGAGTAATTTGTGTGTGCCCGATCCGGAATCCTGTTAGAATGACTTCGAACTTTCTTGGAAGGTCTGTGGCATACATTCATATGGATCCATATTTTGTAATGGATGATTGTAATTGAATTAATTAATAATTCACTGAATACGAAAATCGATTCTCAGAAGTGAAGGGAGACGGACAGACCGTATTATATGTCAGTAATGTCAACCTTTATATTCAAGGATATTTTATAATTGATTAATCCTACAAAGACTGTTAGTATCTAGTAGTAACTAAGGTTAGGTTAGGTTAGGAAAAACATCGAATATAATATTATACAATAATTATTATTATGAAATAAATCGAACCCGTAAATAGAACTGGTGTAAATAGGTTAGTTGGTATAATAACTAAAAATCATCTAAATATTCTGAAAATGTAATTCGTATAGAATATATTATAATTGTACATGTAACGTCATAATGACAAAAAGTTACAACTCTCCGCGTTTAATAGTTTTTAAATTACAACAAAATAACTAAACTCGGTAGAGAAAAAATCATTATTTTTATTTAAATATCCAATTTCACCTGAAATAAAAAAAAACCATGCATATTTATTTTTAATTATATTTTTTAAATGAATGTAAAAAACTTATGAGAAATCGTGTATTAAATTGTCAAGCCTTTGCTATTAAAATTGAAAATTGTATGAATATACTACCTACCTAAAAAATAGTTATATATTTTTACTTCAAACACTTATAAAAAAAAACTGAACCTATGCATTTTAAATATTTATAAGTAACAATTTACGATTAACGATACATTGTATTTTCAAGTTTTTAAACATAATATAAAAAACCATTAATTGAATAAAAAATGGATTAGAAAAGTCGAAAAAAAATGTACATACTCTTTAACACTTAACACTTTACTCAGTAATATTATTATGAACTCATAGTAACAAAATCATCCACTAGTATTTACGGAATTGTTGTCTAAAAATTAAAATTTTACTTTCTGGAAGAATCGAGACGGTAAAAAAAATGACAGTAATTAATAATATCAGTTCTAGCTGTTACACCTATAATAAACCGCTGAAACACGGATAACATGTAATTCTTATTTCATATCATTTAATTATTCATCAATGTATCTATATAATACAAAGTAAATGCTGACACTATAAATAAATTGAAAAGTAATCAGGTCAAAGCTATTTGTCGACCGCGTCACTAAATCCCACGTCTCCATAACATCCCGACTTCTCAAACACTATCCACACCAGCATCACAGACGCCAATCATAATAATTTATAGTACAGTACTGTTGACAGTGTAGAATGAAATAATAAGCTAAAAGCTACATTTTATAAGTACCATGTCAAATCTATTTATTTCAAAATTAATGCTCATACCATATACTACTGTCACTTGTCAGACGAGTAAAAAAGCAACAGAGTCAAAGCGTATTTCACATCCGTATCTGACGTTTATTGTCTGGTTTATTATTCACACTGGAATCTTTTTTACCTGCTCCTTATTATTAGGCACCTCATTTTGCAGAAGTCCTCCCCGGAAAATAGATTTTTTTAGTGAAATGCATCAACTCTTTTTTTTCCCCCCGGCCACAAGATAAATGTGAGTGTCCCTCGGGGCAGTGATCTGTCACCTATTATTTATAACATTTATACCTTTGACACTGCAAAAATAAACTTATCCAGAAAAACTACTCTGCCAGCTTATACCGATCATACTCTGGCTTTATGAGCATCAAACCCAATCTTACCGCATAGTAAATCCAAACAGAGTAGACTTACAAAATTTAAAGTCATCCGAGATGACTCATCTCGAATCGATCTCAATACAATTCAATATTACCAACCTATATATTATTATCAACGATATTGTATGTACTAGAGCTCTGAATAAAAATAGCATAAGTGCTTACCAAAAATGTAAATACGACTGCGAAATGTTATTTATATTCTTTGATTGGTGTTCTTAAAATACAATACAATCGAAATACAGTAATCAAATGTATGGAAGTTGGAACTACACTGAATAATCTGTAAGACATAATATAAAAGATGTTTTTTTTAAATACTTTCGGAATGTTAACTCGATATTTTGTGATAATTACTAGTTATTAACATGTTTATTAAAAACTTAATTCATATTTAATAGTCGATAAAAAATAATATGAGAAAATGAGAAGCTTAACAGATAGAAAATAACCATATTTTTGTCATTCAAAATTCATAAAATATACATTTAATTTATAGACTACTGTACTAGAGGAATCAAAATAACAATACAACAATTGTTATAACAATACTATAAAAGAATTATATGAGTTTTTAGAATATTTTTCTATACATATTCTTATATAATTATGACTTCTGACAGTGTTCTGAATTACTCAGTTGAAAATTGGAAATACGTTTTATTTTTAACTCGAAAATGTATTTTACTTTTTTTTATTTGATAATTTCAGTTATTATTATGACATTTAGAGCTGCTTGTAATGACTATTATTCAGTTATTGCACAGTAATGCTATATTTATATTGTTGTATTATATTTTTTTTTAATGATTTAAAAAATGTTTAAATGGAACTTGTTAATATTATCCACTATTTTTACTAGCTCGCATTTTTTTTGTCTAATACTGTTTGACAACTAATTTTTGTCTCAATGAATAATATTTATAAATAATTCTATTGTTTCATATTACCATTATACTGTTTTAGGATGAAAAAAATCAAATCGTCATAACAAATGCTTGGTTAAACATGGTGAGTACCTGTATTATTTTAAGTATATTATATATTTGTATTACATAAGTAGTATACATTTGATATTCGTTCCAATACTTATGAATTATGATATATATTTTTAGTTAGTAATTTGATTAAAAATTAATTTTGTAATTAATGGTTGAACCAAACATTTTCAAGATTTGTCAAAAACAAATGCTTGCTTATATTTATTCCTCAATTTTTGCAGTATATAAAAAAACTACAAGAATTCGAAAGTTGTTCTCTTAGAGAACTATAATATGATATACTATACAACATTAATATGTAATAATTAAAAGATAACATTAAAAAATTTGTTTGACTATTTTTCTACTTAAATATCAAATAATTTATAAAACCAATAAATAACTCATTCTTAATCTAATCTCATAGACATTATTACACAGAAAATAGATTTGATATATTTGTCTCATTTCATCAATAATGACTAAATGCAGTGTTGTACTATTTTATTTAAATATTTCAAACCAAAAATAAACAGCGCGTTTTGTATAAATTAAAATATGAAATATTAGATTTGAAAACTATATAGGATTTATAAAATGTTTAGGTACTAGAAAGTTTATAAATGCTCTAAAAATATACAATAATTAAAATTATAATATAATTAATATTGTTTTTAATGGAGGTTAGGTTGAATGATTAACTCATAAACTAAAAATAATGCTAAAATAAATGTTAAAGTAAAATCGCAGATTAAATCCTAAAAATGTTTCACGATTTTCAAACTTATTGATATTAAATTATGAATACACAATATTACAATAAAATAATCAATAAAAATAGGACTATAGGAAGGTTGTTAAAAAGTTGAAAAATAATGAGAGAAGTTTTCGTCATACCCAGTTTTCTTTGGATCTACTTAACCTTACTGTTAAGGTGGTTTGTTCTTTGATAGTTTTTCGTGATTTTCGGGAAAACGACTAGACACTTTAAAAAATTACCTCTTCAAAGTACCATTTGTATCAAATTTCCAATCTATTTCGGGTCTATTAAGGATTTTAAAGCACTCCTGCTGCCCATAAAAGTGATACAATAAAAAAACGCACAGCTGTTAAACCAATAGATTCGACTCTCCGTTCAAAATATAACATACAAACAGTAACAAAGCTTTGTTTAAAACTTTTAAGGTGGTTTTAAATGAATAATCGAATTGCGTCAGTAAATATTGTATAGCCTTTCTTCTATTATTATTATCATTTAAAGAGGAACGTTTCACTTATCCAGTTTAATTATACTTTGTTTCCAATTCTTTTAATACAATTGAATTTATGTAATTAGGCTATCGGCACACTACATTTAATGACATTAACCAATCCTATACATACATACATATATAATATATATAAACAGTTAAAAGATAGATTTATTTATTTACGCATAGGTGTTCTATTGATAATTTAATATTATGTATCATATTTAAAATATTCGGATATTGTGTAAAATAATATCGTCTTCTTTTTCTTATCATTATTCATTACTGTAGAATAATAATTGGATTAAAATAAGTCATCGTCCATCAAGTAAGACAAATTATTATTAAACCATTTTAAATATGTAATATTATTTATGGTTCAACATTTTATGTTATGATTTAATCAAAATCAATTAAAATTCCTACAAACTTCAAATTAAACATTTTTATTTTCTCATATAAACTTGTGGCAACAGTGGTGGCCATTGAGTGATACTGACAAGGTTGAATTACATAATTTTGGTAACATATGAAGGTATATCTATTCACAAATTTAATAATATTAAAAGTAAATAGTAAACAAAACGTCGAGAAGATTTATGCCTTGTTAATTAGATTGGTGGCGAAAACAAACATTAATTATTATCAACTATTCATTTGTAAAAAATATAAGAAAAGTTTATTCAAGAGTGACATGTGTTAATGTGTTATTAATAGCATACTTTAACAAGCTCCAATATGACTATATTTTTTTTTTTACTTTAAATCAATAATCTAATACTTACTTGATGAATCTGAATATGCTGTATGTTTAGTGATTAAACTTCATCCCAAAGTAATAAAACATCATAAAACATACGTTGATTTAGGATTTTATGAAGGCAATATTAGCATATTATAATTATTCGAGTAACGATGGATAAAAATTGTAAGATAAACTAAAAAATTATATTAAAATTAAAAAATGTTAACACCCTTATAAAATATTTAAAAAAATCTTTCAGTTTGGTTTACTCAAGCAGCTTTGATAATTACTTTCTTTAATTATAATATTTCGAAACCTAATAATTATATTGGATAACTTCAGAAGTTTTAGCAACTTTCATGAAAAATAATAAAGATTTTTTAATTTATATAACTTCAAGAGCATCCACAAAAGTAACAAAATAAACTAGATGTGTAATATTAGATAGTTGCATATCTTACGTATTTTAATTATATGTCATTAGATATCTGTACTTATTATTATTTTAATTAGGCTGCCAGTGAATATTTCTCAAGAATTGTAATCTTACCATGATAATATTATTATATGAACGACTAGATGGCGACAACGCTGGAATAAAAAAATAATACTTCATGGTCAATTTTATAGACATTTCACAAGTCTATGGAGTCGTGTTACAGCAAAATGCTGACATCTGATGTTTTGAAATAAAATTGAACCAGCCTCAATCTCGTTACAAAAAAATCAAATTCCACCAAAGAGAATGCACTTATTTTGCCCTTCACATCTAATCAGCTGAACTCCTGCTCGCAGCTCATAATATAATAATATACAATCTGGTATTCCACAAAGAACAGAACAGTTATGGCTTCCTCCTCTGTTTCATAATCTTGTGTTATATTTATCAGCCCGACCAATCCTTAAAAGCACCCGGGTCGAGGATTATGCAAACGATATGGCGGTAGGTATAGGTCGACAGCGCCCCACAGGCGTAACTCAATAGCTATTGTCGAAAATATACGATCTCAATAAAGTGACAGACTCGTACGATATTCGGAGACCAAAAAAATAAATTGAGCCAAATCTGTACTCGTGTCCGTTCACTTGAGTAACGGACAATATATTATTTCACCCCTATGCAACATTAATTCTTTAACAATATATTAATTATTGTTTTATTACCTGTCATGAAAACATGAAAACAATTTGTACACTTTTATGCAACATTTATATTACAATATTATAGGTTAGTTATGGGTCGTAAAATTATATTATTATGTAAAATGATTGTATTCCAGCACGACAATTAATTTTGATCCCTTTTATTATCTATTACATAACGAAATATTGGTAGTTGGATTATTTAGATTAATTAGCTCAATACAACAATGATCTGTAGATTATTAATTAATTTTATATATATTATAGAATACACTGATGTAATTTGAATTTTCAGACGTTCACGAAATAATTTACGTTTTAGTATTCTAACATGAGCTTGTATTAAATAAAAAATATATTAAACTTCCGACACTAAACTGTTACTCCATTTAAACTATCTCACTCCGAGTAAACCTTTACTGCATGTGTAGAAGTCATTTAAAACATCTTCCTGATATTATTATCTTCCCATTTTGGCACAGATCCATTCCGATTGCATATGAATGTGATTTTACCGTCGATTATTTTTTTCCAGAGTTCACCGACAACAAAACATTTCACTTTTTATTTCCTACTTTTACACAATACTCACATATTATAGGTAGCCAATTACATGAAATATACAACACATAACGCCATAGAGCTGAAAGCAACCGATCGAACTGTTTTTAAAGAAAACACGTATTTTGAATAAGTTAACATCCTGAAATATAGAATTTAAACATAAAATACTGCTGCTATAAGGACAGAATAAAATTAAAACGAGTTGAGAAAAACATTACCTTAATTTTGATTGTATAATACATCTACTGTATGTAAGCACGTTATACTTGTTATAAATATTAAATACTTTATAGTTGCCTGCGATTTTCTGATTTATTCAAGGGAGGAAACTTCACTATAGAAATAATCCAATTACCAAGTGTTCCCCCTATTTAAAAAGGTTAACACATCGTGATAGCGTAACAAAAATAATTGAGTATGAATTATAAACTTCACGAGTTAGTATTATTGTTTAATAAAAATAGTAGAAGTTGAATAAATTATACAACGGTATAAAACTCCTTTATCTTACTCATATTTGTATAATACTTTTCAATTGTAATACTATAATATATTATAATACTATAAATCACTTTATATAATATATTACGTACTTACACTATGGAAAACATGACTAATAAATAAAAATGAATAATCTTTTTATCCCTTTCTGTTACTTCTAAAATAAACATTTTTTAGTGCTCAAAAGTATATGGTTAAAAATAATCTAAGACTGTTTATACAAAATATACATATATATACACTGTTATTCACTTATATCCTAAAGCCTGCCCTATATGATCCCCCATAAAATAATAATACTACTAGTATTCATAATTAAGCCATTTTCAGCTACCTAAAATTGTATTCAGTCGGCATAGAAATATTATATACTTTGTATAGTTAATTTCATCTCGCTTAAATTTATTCACCCACGCTGTGCTTTGATCTATTAAAATAGATCAAAATTCATATTTCATACTATAATAGAATACTGGAAAATGGACCTATGAAAGTGACGTACCTAAATTGCCTATCTAAAACGCCGTGTAATCATAGCTGCATTATTGAATTTATTACATTAAATGTACATAATCTTAACACCATAATACTATTATAATGACAATCATAAGCTATCAGTTAAACAGTGGTATTCTTAGAATTATAAACAACCTCCAATATCATGTTGTCGTTGATATTACTAAAATACTCTACCAAAGTAAACATTTTATAAATTATAATATCATTATCATTTTACATACACACCTTAAGTGTATGACATTATTTATATAAAATGCTAATCCTACGCTAAAATAATATAATACTAAGGCTTTATATTCTATTATTTTAATGCATTATCATAAATAACTACTGCAATTTAATTTATAATATATAAAAGGTATTGTAAAACTGCAAAAGGAATCAATGTTTAAAAAAAACTTTTTATTTACTCATTGCAAAATAAGTTGTGCTAAAAATTTAAGATTTACATTAATAATGTTAAATGAAGAGAAAGAAAAGAAAAACAACAAAAGATTTAAGTAAGATAGTTGATTAGTCTAAATGTTTTAATAGGTAGTTAATTATTTTAATTTGTTATTTTAATCTAAATAATGCGTACTTGAATATACCTCATTTAAATAAGTCTTAAATGAAACAAACATTAAGCCGCAAAAATAACATCATGGTTTAATAAAAAAAAATCACCATATATTACGCCTCCAAAAGTTAAATGATTAAGTATTATTTTATTTAATAATTGTATAATATAATTAAATCAAAGAATAGTTACAGAATCATAATATTTGTATATATAAAGAAAAAAATCAGAATTTTGAAACTTGAATTAAACAGACGTTTGTTGTTTCGTGCTATTTCTAAATATAGGTAACAATAAATGATTCTGTTAGTTAACTTTTCAACAACAAAAAATATACATATTATCAAAGGTTTAAACGGGCAAAGTATTATTATAGTATACTGTAAAGTGTATATAGAGTCAGAGATGTTCAATTTTTGAGGAGTTCACCTTCTTCAACCCAGTAATGACATTTCTGTACTTAGGTACTAAGTACTTAATTGTACTTATTTATCTAACTCTTAAGATTGTTTCAATGTTCTATTGTTAAGTTTATAATATATAAATAAAAATTATTATATTAGAGATTTTTTTGAAGCCTTCAACCATATTTAACACAGATAATATGTTATGGGGCGGACAAAACTTTTCTTAAACTGATTTTTTTGCATAACGTTTTTTTTATCGCCATAAATCAATAAGAAAATAAGATATAAATTTATAATCAATCTATATTTTTATTGATTCGTTAATTTTTTTAACAAAATGTAAAACATGCTACTATAGTTATGTTTACACAACACTACACCCAAAAAAATATTAATGACACCCCAAGTAGCAGACTACATTTATTTTTTGCATACATTATGTTCATCATTTTACTAAAAAATGTACAAATAAGTTCAAGTTTAAAACATTTTGACATACCTAATGAAAATAATGAAGAGTATTAAACCATAATAGTCCTTATGGTTATCAGTTATGTACGAACGCCAATTGGACGGGAAACACACGACACCTGACCGTAATGGTTGACATTTTGCAACGAATACCTTCTATAGATAGATAAGACATTAAGAATCGATAATGTATTAAAAATGAACCATGCATATGACCTGTGGTTTAATTTTTGATTGACATTGTGTTAACTGTTTGGTGGTCTAAGATAGAGTGTCTTTGAATACCGTGGTCAGTGATGTTTATGAACAGTTATGGTGTTTACTGACGTTATAAGATCTGAACCTCGGGGTATACAATAATAGGCACCTACAAACTCGCCTATCTGCATGATATTAGAGACATGAGACATGTTTACTGTTTACTGAGAGTTTGAACTTCGTCACACATTATGAGAACGTTTCCAGAAACGCAATTTTTCTATACTCTGTAGATTTATTATGCTAATCATTAACTTAATTTGTAAATACCTTTTCGCATTTACAATTTTATTTTTGCTACTGTGGCAAGCTCATGCATAACACAGGTTATTCATAATTATTTGTTGTGTTGGTCACGTCACTTATGTATCACCATCGTGTATGCAATTAAGTCTATAAATTATAATAAAAATCGAGACAATTTCAGATTGCAAATACCAGTAAATAAAACAGAGCAACCAACATCAGCAGTTGAATATATTATAATATCTTTATTCACTAATCTTCACTTGCGTAATGGAGGCAAAAAAAGACGACTGGAAAAACTTCCTCATGTTGAACAACGAACCCTATTTTATAGGAAAATGATTCATATTATTTATAATTTGAATCAAATCAATCTAATAGAAAATAGTAATGCAAGTAATCAAAACCAGTTTTTAGTGAATCCTGTTTTTCATAAATTTGTATTTTATTTTTATTATTATTGACTTGCGAGTTAATGTATTTTTAATTTTTTGCATAATATAATTACTTTTTTAATGGATAACATTTAAGCCCAGATCTAAAGAGAAAACTATTTTTTTTGTATTACAATAATACCATGTTTGTTTTCAAAAAACATATTATTTGGGTAAGTAAAGGGGCTTTAATAGTTTTTATTCAGCAAAGTACGTAATCTATCGAAAATCTATAATGTATGAAATGGTACTTTGGGTTACGTACAAATTGCACATAAGTCACATTATTTGTCGATAAAAATGCAAAAACTAAGAAAATGAGGTCAAAACCCATAATACACAAGCTCCGAGTTTTTTTTATAACTTGATGATATATCGTTTTAAAATTTGAAAAGTGTCACCTTTCTAAACACACATTCTCACGCCCCTAAACATATTTGGCCAAGAGGATCGTCTAAGATGTAACACTAACATTTTATCACTCTTTTTACTCAAACTTACAAGTTTTAAATATATAGATTAATAAAATACATTAAGTAGATAAAGTAGGTATTATTAAATCATTGCTAATCTTACATTTTGCATGTTTATTGTTAAAACTGATAGTTTCATTGATAATACAATATTAATGATATGAATAATTTTTCGTTATAACCTAATAATATATTCTAATAATTGTAAAAAATTACTATGTATTAATAAAATAAAAAGTATAGTTGACATTTTTTATTTTTAAATCACTAAAATACTACAAATATGTACATTAGTAATATGTATATTTAACCTTTTCCAAAATGTAGCTACCAATAATTATTAATGTTAAAATATTACTCTTTTGGTTTATTTTATACAAATATTAAATAATTCAATTTTATATTTCACTCGTCGGTCTAGTCATCTATACGATAAAAATTACTAATTAATATTGTTATTTGTTAAATAAAACTTATCTGATACAGGTACATACATACACATTTTAAAGTAAAAATAAACATAACCCAATTAAAAATAAACGAAATTTAATAATTTGTTTAATGCACTAAAACGTGAATTCTGAAAAAAATACATTATTATATGTGTACACTAACCTATGGTTAGTGGTTGATCAGATAAATATATTCGACATAATGTAGCTTTAAAAGTTACAACTTTTTGTTCAACTTGTGTTCTAATAAATATGAACAGTTAAATATTTTAATTACAATACCAAACTGATTTTAAACAGTTATAACTTATAACCATTACTCATTAGGTCACGTTATAATAAGATACGTTTATAAAATCATAATTTAGGTACATTGTGAAAATGTTCTACATAGAAAACTATACTGCAAAACATAAAGTAAAATATATTCATCTCGAATGAGAAAATGTCGTTGTGACAGCAATACGCATAACATAATTCACGGTTTCCCCTTTGAGAAAAGTTATCCGGAAAACTAATTTCTATGTTCTGAAACAACCTGTGAAAGCTTCGATTTAATCTGGTTTTGTCATTAGAAGTATCCCAGCAGAATATAGTATATACAAAAGCTCCCAGGGATCAACGGAATTCAAGTAATTTTGGGTTTTGGACAGAATAGTTTGTAGATATATCAATAGTTTAAAGGAGTCTGTGCATTTCGTATTTAGGGTTAGATTAAGGTTAGTTGTTTATATTATTATAAATTTATTATTTAAAAAAACATTATTTTCTATTATTACAGGAATGGGTGGACTACAATATGAGGTGGAACATTTCCGAATACGGTGGTGTCAAGGATCTCAGGCTCAATCCAAACCGACTGTGGAAACCAGACATACTCATGTATAACAGGTTAGTATTTAATTGCATAGTTTTAGAAAAACAAAATGTTACTCTACTGGACAGCTCTCATTAAAAAAAAAACTAAAAAGGCATGATTATAGGATTACTAATTGTTTCGTCTTTTTTTCGCGTCCAGCAGTGGCCAACAATTATTTGTATAGCCTTACATATCATAATAATATCATACGACTCTCTAGTAGGTACTCTTCATAATGATTTTTAAAACACTGTAAAATATCATTACATATTTCTTATTAATATACAATACTCAATCAATAAATTGTAACGATTTTAATAATAAATTATGCATAATCTCACAGGTATTTAAAAAAAAAGGCATATTGTATAGTAGAACGGCATTACAATAAAATGCTCTTCCAGTACTTCATTGATTTTCTACAATAGCTATTTTTCCAATTGACAACTGACATAAAATATTAATTAATTAACTAAAAATTTTAAATTGTTTTAATTATATAGCTTACAATAATACTCTTGGGCGACGAGGTGACCGAGTGGTCTGACTCTTCCGCTGCGACGCAGCCGGTCGCGGTTCGATCCTCGGCCACCGGGCGGCATTTTTCTCCGGACAAGTCGCGGTGATCGGAGAGCAAGTGCTGCCATCCCCCACCCCCGGGGCATGGCAGAAACCTACGGGTGCCCCATTCGAAATTCTGCCAAATTAAACACACACGTGTTCCCCCTACCGTTCCAAAAACCTACAAACCATCAATACAAAAACCTACAGTACCTACTAATAGCTAATGGCCACAGTTGCCGGGCTCAGGATCAATTAAAAAAAAAAAAAATAATAATAATAATACTCTTATCCATGTGTTTTTATTTCTAACACAAACAAAAACACATTTCAACCAAAAATAACATATACCTAACTTGTATGTTATACTTGATAACAATTTATATACATTAAATTATGTTGTATTATAATTTTAATTTAACATTTTTATGCTATTTAAGGCAACTTTATGAAAAAAAAAAAATGAAAAACAAATGAAGAAAAACCTCATTAAAACTAATATAATTCAATATTATTCTATAAGAATTTTCTGAGGTGTGCATTAATAAGATCTTTTCTTATAAATTCGTATTACCATTGGGCAAATGATAAATGTGATGATATAAAAAACTATTACTATAAGAAATATTCTAAGGATGATGACGTTTGAGATAAGTATTTAAGGAAAATCAATATAGAGAATGTAGCTAAGTGCTGTAATTTACTTACATTGTCTTCAAGACTTTACTTAATGATGTGGCTTTTGTTCATAAAACAATTTACAGTAGAATTAAATGCTTTGAATACTTAGCTAAGAACAATCGTATTTACCTCTTGGAATAGTCAATATACTCTTTTTTTTATAAAAAAATTTTTTTAACCAGTTCGTTCATTTAAAAATTGCAAGCCTTATAATTTACCAATTAAAATAATACAATAACAATAGTTAAATTAATGTATATTTTATTTTTAATCATCTTTGTAAGACTAGTGCAGTAGATAAACAATAATTTGTTAAATTATATTATTAATAGAGTGACCAAGTGTAGGTACACTTTTTCCATTCAAAAGTCAGATTAGGGTTTCTCCTGCTATGCTTAACTCTATACCGGGCTATTCTATTTTATTAAATTGATTTATTAAGTAGGTATTTAATTATTATCAATAACTAAAATCATTATAAAATCTCATCTTTGTGTAAAAATATTTTCTACAGTTCTAATACTTCTTAATAATTATAGGTATATAAAAAAATAATATTATGTTAGATTAGACAATATAATTGTAATAAAAAATATTTGCAATTTTTCAATGTCATTGAGAAAGTCGATAACCATTCAGTACGTGTCCTAAACTAAATACTAATACATTTTTATCTTAAAATTTATATCGTAAAACATAATATTAAATTATGTGGAGAACATGAGACAACTTTATTTAAAGTTTAAATTATAGGTATAAAAACATTAAGGACTCGCCTTAAAAATTTAATTCTACACAAGTTTAGAAGCCATCAAAATTATTTATATCTCATTTTTCTAACGACAAAAAGTTTCATTCCAAAGTAGTTTGCCAAGAAGTTGTCGAAAACAGTTACGTTTTGGTGGCAGGATCTCCACTATTATTCCTTCAATTATCAATCTAGTAGAGGACTAGAGGGGTAGCGAAATTTTTTACATAAATATGTTATAGTTTTGTGAATGTATCTGTGTCTAAAGTGTACATTTAATATTGATTATGTGAAAGTGTCCCAAGTAGAATTTGTTTAATTTTTAAATTTGGCAGACGAGTCTTACAAAGATATAAACATCATTGTTTCAACTAAAACAGAAAATACATATTTTTACCACTCCTAAAATTATTTTAAATTTAAATTTTGATGTTTTTAGGTCATAATTTTTTTGTCTTTAGCCTCATATTTTACCATACAAATTGTAGGCAGTGTCTTACGCTAAAAATGTATTTGTGCCGTCGCGTACTGGACCATTACCAAATTAATTTTAGTATAGAAAGTATATAATACACTTAAAAGGGAGACTATTTGCAGTAAACGGAAAATGAGTTTAAGCCTGTAACTTTACTAAAAGTACAACTAAATTTAGAACAAGGGTGAAAATATTAAATTCAGAGATAAAAGCATTTCAAAGATGAGTGGATTGACGACGATATAATGCATTTGACAACTTCTAGGACCTATAGATAGAGTCTCAAATTGATTGATCTTTGTTTAGTGAGTAATGATTTATAGTTGAGTCATATTTTATAACTAGATACATAATTTCTAACAAACGAGTGGGTGCTTTTAATGGGTCACTGTTGGTCTGTAAATATTTGACTAACGACTAATGAGATGGTTATCTTCATGTATACCACGATGTGGTTTTATAGTCACAATAATTATGTGTGTATCTTTAAGATTGGAAATTATGACACTTTGAAAAATCACGTTTAATTTTCCCGTGTTTACCAAGTCTAATGATGGTAATGGCCGACGGGCCTTGTAGAAGGTATTAATAATTTTCATCACTGAAATTTTATTTTAAGTCCGTGTTGATTATATTATACAAATCATATATTGTATAAACAGAAATCAATTTGAATTATTAAATAAAAACTGTGTATACAAAATGTATGAAGTTTTTTAGCCAATGATAAATAACACAAATTTGGTCGTATTCTTTTAGATCTGTTAAAATGATTAAAAACAAAAATCAAACATGTTTTCTGCCAAATATCTTGTTTTTTCGGTTTTTTTTCTGAAATTCTACAGAATTATGGAATTTATTTTATACACTGTTTTGACATTTCGCAGTGTGATACATTTAGTAAATTTGGATAAAAAGTAATAAATAAGTATGTATTAAGTAATTCAAAAATCGTACACCATTTTATTAATTTAACTAACTTTGAAATCACTCTAAATAATGTTCATAATTTATTTAATGATTTTTAGATATTATATCTGTAATTGAAAATATAAGGTAACATTTGTATATCATATTTATTATTTATATCTATATGAAACTACAAAAGAATTATAAAAATTATATGACGAATATAAATAGGAAAATGTTCATACATGGTAATTTGCATCCACGATTTTCATCTATGAAATTATAATTTATAATAGATAAATTCAAGTTTTAAATAGGGAACTTTACAATCAATGTAAACACCGAAAAACACTTAAAGGACGAATTATATTAATGTAGTTCGAGAAAATTCTTTACTTTAAGTATGTACTGTATTTTACTATCTATCTATTATAAGAGTTAAATTATAATCCACATATATATAGAGAAATCTAAAATGAGTCAATATCTCAAAGTTATATTGTAGATCTGCATAATAAGTTCTACGTCTTGATCGGTATTTACTTGTTTTTAACCATTTACTCGAATACTAATAGGTATGTAGATAGGTACTTAGAAATATTAGATATTATTCTATCTGTAATGAAGTATTTCCTATTACTATTTTCATTATTATAATACAATGGAAAAACTACCAAGTCAGATCGATATTTAGTTAATATTTAGTTGCTAACAATTATTAATAATTAATTCGTTAATGACCAATAACTTAAATGTATTATGTTGCTTTTTTTTTTTGAATGTTAACAGTGCCGACGAAAAATTTGATGGTACTTATCAAACCAATGTGGTAGTGAGGCACAATGGTACATGCCTGTACGTTCCACCTGGTATTTTCAAAAGTACATGTAAAATTGATATCACATGGTTCCCATTTGATGACCAAAATTGCCTTATGAAGTTTGGTAGTTGGACATACAATGGTTTTCAGGTAAACTCATTCATTTTATAATAAGCAATTTTGTGTGCTCCTGTATAAAAATGATAATCATATGTTAGTTATCAAAAAGTAAACTATAAATATTTAATATTCTATAATAGTATTATTTAAATTACATTTTTCTCGAGTTGTTTTGTTAAATATTATTATTTTGTATAAAATGTTTCTGTTACATATACCTACCGATTAATGGTCAATAATTTTTAATTCGAGTTAAACTGTATAAAAAGCATAGTTAAAATATAAAAAATCTTAAAACCAAAAAGTACAATTGTTTTCATTAATTAAAATCGCTTTTTGAGCTTATATGAGAAAAGGGTCTTTATAACTTGTTAAAAATCTCTTTTTTTTATTTCTTTTGTTATCAATGAATTTGCATTTTTATTACACTTTCATGTTGCATATTATACTTTTCATTTTTTATGCTTTCGTTGAATGTACCTTTTTTAAAATTATAATTACGTTAAAAACCATCCAAAATAAATTATATAAAAAAATTAATGAATAGATTATAATCATCTACAGACAAATATTACAGAATGATAATTCTTACAACATAAAACAACTTATATAATAATATATATTATTATTATTATTATTATTATTATATATTTATATACATATATCTATGTGTGTTTTAAATACTCATACCCACTTAGTTATATTTATTTGCTAAAAATTGTTAATATGATTTCATAGTAGCGTTGACTTCTACATTAATTTGGCGGTTAAAATCACTTTCCTAACTAGAATAATTTTTAACTAAAATATTTATAATCATCAATATTACGTGATTGTTAAATGAAAGTAAATAAAAAATAAAATAAATATTTTAATGTTTTGAATTCATAAAAATCAATTTTTATATTTATTCATTGTAATTCAAAAAAATCAGTTCACATACAATTATTCAATTATTTCTTTTAAAATTGAAATCATATTCATTTTCTTCTTGGATTGTATTTTATGGGATTTTTTTCGTATTAGACCTTTAAAAAAAATTTTAGTTATTTGTTTTAATTTTATAACACTCCTAATAATAATTAGTCGTTTGGATAAAAAATCTAAATGCTTATTAATTATTTAATCCGAACAAATATCGATTCTATGAAAAGTTAAGCTATAAAAAAATGTTCAACTGCAAACGATTTTTCAAAAATAATTTATTATATATACAATTTTCAAATGAAAAATAATAGGTGATCACAGCATTACATTAAAATTAAAATAATTATTTATTTTATCATACACGTATATTATAGTTTAATAATTATGACTAGATAGATAAATAAAAGAAAATAATAAATAATTTACCAAATTAAATTTTAAAATATAAACCTTTCAGTTTGAAGTAGTGTCAATAATATGCCAATAATATTTGTATGTCAGTTTTTCTAGTATGAAATAGTCAATGTTTTAAAATGATGCTTTCAGATTGATTTAGTGCTCAAATCAGATGGCGGCGATCTATCAGACTTCACAACGAACGGTGAATGGTATTTGCTAGGTAAATATTTATAAAATCAACATCAATATTTTTATTTGTAATTAAATAATCAAATATTTCTCATGATTTATGTAGTTACGATATTAGTTACTTAATAATAAACCTTGGTGACTTTGCAAAAAATATACACCTATGAAGAACTGAACCTGGGAACCCTCTAAAATATTATAAACTAGCAAACAAAACATTTTCGTTAAAGATCCCACACGACTAAGAAAAGACATAAAAAATATGAAATAATTTTAAATATTGTATGGGCTATAACTAATCGTATCATAAATATTTGTTTTAACATATATTTTATTATATTTACTGTGATAATAATAATTAGTATTATTAAATTATACATCATATTTATTAAATATTAAAATGTCTTCAGCAAAGTTTAAAACTAAAAAAAAATCAAATGATAGAATCCATGGAGTACGTACGTTTTTGAGAAAACTATAACGTATATTAATTGTCAAATAACAAAGAACCCATTAAATACGACACGGTCGTAAACTTAAATAGATTCTAAAATTGTTAAATTTATTATAATACAATTTTTGAAATAACGCAATCAAATAAAATGTTATTGGTAAGCATGAAAGAATTCAACCGTGTCTTAAGGGTATAAATTAATTATCTTTTCCAATTTTACCCAATTATCAGTGCCTTAATCGTCAAGTATTAATCCATTTTAAATAAACATTTTCTGAAAGAAATTATTATAATTTATTTATAACCAATTTAAAATAAAAACATCGAAATATGTTTGTGAATTTTATATTTATAATTTTAATTGAATCTCCGATAATAAAGCCAATAGTACGTTTTGTAGAAATTCTATGGACTGTTTATTGTTCTCTAGATTTATTTTATTTTTATAATTTTTTATGTTTGTATAAAATTCATAGTGTTCGGCAAAATTGAGCTGTGCAATCATGTTATAAAAAAAGGTGCCACCTTCAGTACCGTATGTCCGAACGCAACAGTATTATACTAAAAAAAATACTTTTAAGTGGTATTTATCTGGTATAGGTAGTAGGTGTCAAAAACCGAAAACTATATATTATTATTCTAAGCTGAAATCACAAATCGATACAGAAATAAATAGGTAGGTGTGCTAGTTTTTGAATTTTAAATTCTTTGTAGTCGTGATTTTATAAAATAAAGTTCTCCAATCCCATTTTTAAATTTATGTTAACAATTTTAATAAACTACGAATTAGTTATTTTGTGTTTATTCTCTAAAAAAATTGTCTATTGAGTAATAAATAAAAATAGACCTAATACTGTGTCCTTATTAGTGAGATCTTAACATTTCACTGAACTAGAACTTGGAAAATTAACACTTCCAACAGAATTGTGACTATTAAAAGAATAATTATAAGACATCAGCAACCACTATGTCTCTGCAAAAAATTTACATTTATCATAAAATTTGTTTATTTTCACTCAATCAAAACATGTCACAAATTTTCACTGAGGACGATGTGCACGAAGAATTTGATTTCACAGTATTTTGAATTTTCATATTAATCCAGTAGTTAACTAAAATAACCAATTTAATATGATTTTAAATATCATAAATAACAGTTAGTATTAATATTTAAATAATTCTCTAAGAATTTAATATTCATTGTCCTACATCGTTACATATTTTATTTTTTAAATAATTTCACTTAAATGATAACGAGAATTTAATAAAGTATGTGTATGTGTGTTTCATTGTTATGTCACAAGCTCTACCATGTATCATAATATTTATATTTTTTTATTGAACAAAACGCTTCAGCGGCAATGGTTATTACTTATTAGTTTATTATTACAGTACAGTTATTTAATAACATTTTTTTTAAATCAATATTTTTCAATATTTTGCTAAATTAAATAAGGTTTTATAATTCCAACATCTTCAAAAAATTTAAAAATGTGGTGTTCGATTCTTGACCGGGTCTCTGGATTTCGAATATTTATTTATTAATACAATAAAATGTAATATTATAGTAATCCTCTTTTAACTACAAATATTCCGGTGACATCCAAATTTAATGAAAACAATTAATAAATCAATGTAATATAAAATAGAAATAGTCGAATAGGTACAGTTTTCCTTGTTAAATGTCAAAATAGTCTAACAAAATTACTAATTTTTAAAAATCAAATTGTATTAAAAGTAAAAATGAAAGAATTAAAAAATTATATTAACCTTTTAAATTTTAATTATTATGATAATTAATACATCAATAAAAACTGAAAATTGATTGAAATAAAATACCTTTTTCATGAGGTTTTTAATATTTTTTTCCCACTTAAAAAATTAAAGAGATGCATTTAATATGATCTATTATGGTCTTATTTCTTATAATGTAAATTTAAAAATAGTATTTTTTATTCATAATTTGTGTTTTTAATTTTAGTTTACAAGATATATTGAGTGCACAAATCGGTTTCGATTGTGAATAATTTATTTTAAATTACAGTATTATTTCCTTTAAACGGAGTAATTCATATAATATTCACAATTCAGTTAAATATTGCTACATATTTTTTTTATTTACCTAATTGGATAGAATTTCTATACAATGGTTTACAATATTTTTTTTGAATAAAGTTTAACAAAATTAAATGTCCAATTTTATTTTTATTTTTTGGGACGGGAAGGAAGGTCAAACAATATTATTGAAAACCTGTAACTAATTAAATTTTTTATATCTGTTTTTACTTAGCATAAATGTTTTTTATTTAATCCACAACTATTTAAGATATTCAAGACTACCATGACTTGAGACTTGAGATAAAATTTATTATGTGAATATTGATGAACAGCAGATTAGAATAAAGTTATTATGTAGGTATCTTAATAAGTTAATTATTTTGATTATACTTATTTCAATTTAATTGTTTAGTGTATAACTTTAGGGGTAGTTATTGTCTAAAAAAATAAATACATTTTAATTTTATTGATATACACAAACTTAAATGTAAAATAATCACCACACTACAACAAATTTAAATCTACAAAAATATTCAGATGATTAAAGTGGCTAAATATAATTCAATAAATTTTCGTTCAATATAATGAACTTATTAGTAACAAAAAAATATAAGTAGTTAAAAAATTTTCAGTTTATTATATTTTATTCATTTATGTAGGTAGTAAACTTTAAATTTAAAATAAAATGAATACCTAACTATTTTGCTAAACGTTAATTTAAATCATAATAAATAATAGAATCAATTGAACTATGTATTTTTGTAACATCAAATTATATATTGATTTTACCCAGAATGTTTTTGATTTTTAAAAAAAAAACAATTTCTTGTGAATTCGATCAACTATTCAACTAAATATATTTTTGAAATTTATAGAAACATTATGATCGAAATACAGACATAGAACCTTAATGTCTTAGAAACTTACACTGGACATTCAGTGTGTCTAAACTCCGGTATTTAATAGGTTAGGTTCTTATCTTATAATATACACTTCATTGAACTTTTATTATTTATGAATAATGGTATTTGGTCTTTCGCAAACACTATAAAGTCATATAGGTATTATTATTAAAGAGCACAATCAGCATTTAATAAATAATATAGTTTAATCATTCCTATAATAAGAATATTTATACCATTATAATTTAAGTACCTACTTTAATATGAAAAACTATTTTATTTTATTTTCCTCTCTAGGGGATATTTCAAAATAGTTATTTAATGTTCAAAATAATCATGAACAGTATTCGTAGATATTTTTTTTATTAATTTTACACATTTTACTAACATTTTTATTTTTTTAGATTTCAAATAATTATAACTTAAAATAGTTCATATTTTTTACTTCAAAGTTTTATCCTGTAGGGAAGCTGGTGCCAGTTTTTCAAAATTGTTTACAATTCTATACAATTTAAAAATAATATTTTATGTTTAGTTGACACTTTAATTTTAATATTCGTCCCCTATTCTGCTGTCCGATAGTTATTTAAGGTGGGAGGGCTTGAAATACAATGTATTTTATAGATAATACGATTTCACAGGAATGATTCTCAGCCCTTGTAGAATTTTCGGATATTGATAAATATTTTGTACCTAGAAAAAGACTTCCTGCAGACCACATTGAAGAATATTGCCTCTATTAGTTAAAAAAAGATTATCAAATTTGATTGATTCTACAGAACAGGATAATTATTCCCGTAAAATATATTTTTGTGGATAAAATTACATTGGCAACGATCCTTCGCACAAAAATGATAATATATATTACTATCTTAATTTGATAATACATAAATATAATAAAATTTTTAAAGAGATAGTCTATTTTTGGTTATGGTCTACACTCATATTACCTCGCCTATTTTATTATCTTACTCAATAAATTTACTTATTTTTACATGATTCAAATGTTTATTAAATGTTTTTGTAATATTAAAATACCACATTTTTATAATTTCAACTGTTGAGTATTTTTTTTTTTTTTTTACTAACATAAAATAAAGGTTTTTTTTTAATAAAAATGTTGACTATCCAATTAGATTAATATTTATTATAGGGTATACTTGAAATTTTGAATTATCAATTTCGATTAAGCATACAATGGTTATTTGTAATTTAATCAGAGAATAGGTAGATTACGTGAAATAGGCAAATAGGTCTATATTATTGTGTGCGAACAAAATTACGGGGTACACTCTGTATTATTAACAAATGAAAAATCCACATTTCCAATAGCCAACATTGTACTAGACTAGCACTATGTTCTAAATGTATTGTTGATACTGGAAACTGTTACTGTATGTCCATTGCATCTGGCACTTGGGTATTTTATCACTACATTGCAGTTAATGCGTGGTTTTTATTACTTAAACCACTTAATTTAGGAACTATCATAATATTGTCGTATTTAATCTACTTCAGTGATTCTCAGCCGGGGTGTCATGACCGTGAACTTGGATTAAGAGAATTCGTGGAAAATATGGAGTTGAAAGAATTTAATTTGTTTTAAAATAATAATACTGTGTTTGGCCATAAGTTATAACTTATGAGTTATGAGTTTATGACTGTATAAAATAATTGTTTTGCTTTTTAAATCTAGCTTTACCTTGTATTTTATAATTTTCGAAGTGTAGTGAGTTGATTTACAAAACTCAAAAACTGTATAAAATAGAATTTATCATTGAAAGGTGCCCCGGGATTATTAGAAAATTCAAAATACGCAATGGTGACAAGGTTTGCCCAAAATTGAGAAACACAGATCTACTTAAATTATGACGGAAGTAATATCCATTACTCAATCCAAAAGTATAATCAAACACAATAGGTATAATGGTAATACCTTTAACGAGCACAAATAATTTTCGAGTGTTTTTCGTCGTATAACCTATTTATGTGTCACTTCCAATCCGAAGAAAAACTAACTGTCTCATTTTCTTACCTATTACAATGACTGACTTCTAGCCTCTAAGTACAATCAAACACTATGTTCTACAAAAAAACCTTATCGGACATCACCTTTTTCCCCCAGTCCAGAGGACTGTTTTTGCATTACTTCCACGAACCTAACCTAACATGATGCCTCGCTATCTTTTATAAAAATATTTTCCAAAATGTATAATAGACAATGGAAAAAATAACCTAATACCCAAAAGTTATAATTTGAAACTTTATTATTTCAAGTAATATATTTCATACGTGTGATATTATTTTATTGACTTAGAATCATGAAATACAAAGTAATTGGAGAAAAACCACAGAAATTCAAAAATGAATTGTGTAGGTAACCATTTCGTCTTTAATAAAATCATATTATTTTCTTTGTAATAATAATACAAATATTTTAGTAGGGTTTATTTTATGAGCAAGTACTTAGTAGTACCTACCTATAAAATAAACTATAAAAATGCATTATATTTAAATAACCGTATAATTATATCTAACGAGATTTAATTTTCTTTTTTTCAATAACAATACAATACTTACTGAGTGTTAACGTAGTATATTGTCCAAAATATTTTATATCAAATATAATTATATAGTAATTATAACTATACTCTTTTAAATAAAAATATTCTTATTGTTGATTGCTTATTGGCCTTCGCTAATAATTAACACATACTCAATGAGAGGTTTAAACCTATAATAGTTGTATTTACAACAGATAATTTGAGTTTAATATAATATTCTAAACATTTTTAGAAACGACAAAATGTCGATGCATACAAGGTTTAAAACAAAAGTTTATAATATATTTTGTCATTCTTAGCACTTCAGAACACGAAAGACAAAATATTTGAACCACATTAAGATTTTGTGAATATATTATTGCAATGTTTAATAAACTATGAGTATCATTTTTCATTAAATTTTAAATGAAAAACACATGATACCTAATTGTAATTTCAAAATGTACTCATAGGTAAGCATTCTAATCAAAATGCGTTTAACCTACTTAACAAGCGTGTGGTTTACGTACAAGGTGTTGTGTAGCCAGTTGTAGGTCTACCGATTGTAAGTTCTATATTCTAAGCTCTTATCATCATGTCATAATTGATAATATTATATTTTATTTGGTAAGTCCTGAGCCCAGATCATTACTGTTCCTGCTGTGAACTCGTTATATATATATATATATATATATATATAATTTACAATACCCAATAAAACTGCACGTTACAGGTATGCCTGGAAAAAAGAATGTGATAAACTACGCCTGTTGCCCAGAACCGTACGTGGACATCACGTTTACCATAAAGATTAGACGGAGGACGTTGTATTATTTCTTCAACCTGATCGTGCCGTGCGTGCTCATCTCGTCGATGGCTCTCCTGGGCTTTACGCTGCCTCCGGACTGCGGTGAAAAGCTCACACTAGGTAAGAACGCGATATAGAAACCGGAAACAAAGACAAACATTTTATTACAGCGGACTGAGCTGCACAGTGCGGGTAAAAGTGGCGCGTGAAGGTGTGTATGCTCGTGGGTTTTTCGTGTGACGGACAGGGTGAGAGATAAGGATGAGGCGGCACAAATGGATGGTTAAAGGATAAAAATAAAAAATAAAAACGAGATAGATAATATTTGGTTCTTCACACCGGCGCCTGAATACACACAGACAATGGATACAAGGATTTCCAGACTAAGTTGATCATAGGTAATATTATGTACGTATAATCCGTAGCAGCATAATATATGGACGTCATATTATCGGAGAGTGTGCCAAGTGGATTTATTCATTTTATTCTCTTGATAGTTATCAGATACGATAGTGTGGTACTTTTTACCTACATAGCAACAATCAAACGTTGTATATTGACATAAAACCATAAAAAATATAATAAGTCTATGCATACAACCCTTTGAATGCATTATATATACATTATATATGCATTATATTTACGTGTAAACGCTATTTGAAGCAAATCCTTCGATATATCAGCTATAGGCCACAATATTAATATATTTGCTTAGGATTACACATATTTAGTTATTTACCGACAACTATATCATCATCACCACCACCGTCTGACTAGTGACTACTACAGCTAGCGTATGTTGCGGAGTACCTACATCAACATTTTGAAAGATTAATTCACATAATAAATGTAATGGGTTTCTGTAGGGTTTGGTTTACTTATCTGTGTACATTTACATAAATAAATACATACATTTCGATGATTTCCGTTTTATCAGATGTTATACGATAGAATTAGAAAGATCTGTTTTCCAATAAAGCATATTATGTTAATTTAAAATGTATTTTGTATCAAACAAAATGAATCTCATTCCATAAGTATAACATAATAATCATGACGTATTTTATTTTATGCTTTTTGAAATATCTATTTTTGAAGACCAAGTCCTGTTTGAAAATTAATCATATATTATGGAACATTTTTAAAAACCAGGAAATCAGATTAGGAAAAATAATCAAAGTGTTAATTTCAGAAATAACTATACTACTGTCACTAACAGTATTTCTGAATCTGGTCGCCGAGTCAATGCCAACAACGTCCGAAGCGGTTCCCCTTATAGGTAGGACTAAGCAAAAATATCAACTTGCATGATGACATATGTCATTGTCATTTGATACTTGGAGGAACCACTTCGTTGGACAAGCAATACATTACTTACCTATATTCCCAAATACTATTATATCATAAAATGCAATTATTAATGTTAGTCAGAAAACCATTTTATTAAATTTTAAATAAAACATTGTTTTATCAAAAAAATGTTCCCAGATGTATTTTTCTAGGTCATAAAAATAAATTGGTTGTTACAGGAGTGACCATCTTGCTATCACTGACAGTGTTCCTGAATTTGGTGGCGGAAACGCTTCCACAAGTCTCCGACGCGATACCCTTGCTAGGTACCATAAAATACCCTATTCCTCCCAAATAAAAATAAATCTTGTGACAGTTAGTGATGTTTACAATTTAATTTTATCTATCTATTTATATTTTGAATAGAATATATATTTTATATTGTTTACCATTTGAATGAATAATAACAAGAAATCGTACAAAAACATAGTACAAAGATTCACATTGCTACAGCTTTTAAGCATTAACTATCAATAATTTTCATTCAAAGCAAAAATTAAAATTCATAGCTACAATACATTAAAAAAATTATTTAGCATATTATTGAAGTATTTTCTGTCCGATTTCGTTAACAGTTTTTCTTATAAACATTTTGTTCGTTAATTTTAAAAATTCATGTGTGAACTATCAAACAATCAATTCAATAAAATCATCACACAATACTATAAATTAATTATACGATTTAGGTACAACAACCTAACAGTTAAATGATAGTACCTACTCTCGTTTCAAAATAATAAGTGAACTATATAATAAAAAAACCGTAACTCTTCTTTTAATTGATTTTGTACGATTTTTATTTTATTTAAACGAAACACCAGAGGCCGAGCCGTATACTTGGAAAAGATTATATACCTACTCGTTTCACAACAATAAATAATAAATAGTTTAATAATAAAACATTTTAATACGGCTTTGCCTTGGTGTACCTACTATACTCCATTTGATTCTTTCGCTCGAGTGCTTTTTCTCACTTCACTTTTCTCTCTTTTGTTATTGTTTTAGACATTTTTTACATATTTATTTTTGTATTGTTCTTTGAACAATAATACTTGTGTGTCTTTTTGCATATTAATATCGATGTGAATTTGCAGTTTGTGATTGTATTTGTTTGCCTTTTCTCATCAATTAAAAAAAAAATAGGCATAAAATAAACAAAATAAAATAATACAGCTTGTGATTCCAGATGAAAGACGTCAGGTACCTATTTCATGTTTTTAAAGAATATCAGTTTAATTTGTTAAGATAAGTGTATCTACTTTTTATAGGAAATACAAAATACCATCATCAATTAATTATCGTGAGTTAAAATAAAGTGCCTATGATAATATAATAGGTATGAGTAAATTTATATGAGTATTATAACAAATAAATTTCATCAAAATTGAAATGCTATTACATTTATATCATTCAAAATGTTTAACAAAACAATAAATGTGATATTCGTGTACGAGTTTGAAATATAAATTCAATATCTTAAAATTAAAGATGCAAAATATTTATTGGTGTTATGAAAAACATAATATACAAGAAACATATATGAATGTTTATAAATTTATTAATATTCCCGTCCAATCTCGTGGTTAAGATAATGGAACCGTGATGAATTTAAATATAGATTAAGGAATGTCATAGATTTAATAATAATAATATCAAATATGTACTCACATCATTACTAAGTTACCAAAAACCGGTTACTTTTAACGTTATTTGTGTTACAGGTGTGGCAATACTGCTTTCACAAGTAGTTTATCTATTGCGGTTGGCAGAAGTGTTGCCAGAATCCTCTGACGCAGTGCCCTTGTTAGGTTAGAGTTTAGTGTTTACCATATTGACAGACACACTTCTTTTAACAACACGCTCATTTTTCTTAATTCTCTGTGTTCTAACAGTATTCTTATATTTTTGGTCTGTAACCTAATCACTTATTTCGCATCGGGTGTGACAAGTATTCCTATTTGTAATAACTTTTTTTTTAATAAACTCAGTAACAAATTATGTAGAAGAATCCAACTTATTTTCATACATAATTTATTTTACTGAAAGTATCTTTAAAATAAGTGAGACTAACATGTATTTTTAGAAAAAACAATTTTTAACAATTAGATGTAATATCAGTTAACTCTTAAAGTCTTTTAAGATAATACTGTTAAAATTATCACATATCGAATACGATGGGTATTAAATGTCAATAAAATATAAATTTGATGTAAGTACCAAAAACAACTAACCAAAAAAAAAAAAAACAATAATATTAGTGAAAAATCCAATTCAGTTTTAAAATAAATTGTGAAATAGTGCACAAAGTTATTTTCGAGTCTTAAGTATAAATCCTTCACCTTTTAGCTGTCAGTTTTTCAATAATTACCTGTATTAGACGTTTGGCAATAAAACAATTTTAAATACCTTAACTGGCCAGATTTTATTCTTTACCTATGTCAAATTTTGATATTCAATAACAAATTAGATATATATACAAAAAGAACATTATTATAGAACCCTTTATAGTGGGAGAGGCAAAAAGCGAGAATGCACTAAGCGGCCGTTTTCCATCGGGGTTATTCCAACTGTTATACCGCCTAAAAAGCGATTACCACCTTCAATTTTTAAAGTGCACTCCAACAGTTACTTTTAATGAAATGATACAGAAATGTTACAGATACATGAAAAATATTATGGTTAACTGTTAAACCTTAACATTTCTCCCAAACGTCGAACACTTGAACACAGGGAAATATACCGTAAGAGAGATTCCGATTGCGGCTCACTTTTCACCTCTCCTACTTCATAATTTCAAATTTCACTTACAATCTAAAACACAACATTACTAAAAATGAATATTCAAATACAAAACAGGAAAATCGGTTGTAAGAGTGGGATCCCGACTCTCAATGTACCTAGATATTTTTTTTACATTTTTATTTTTCATCGTTCTTCAAACTGTTGGACGGTGCCTACACATTCTCCATTTTATGGTTTTAAGAATCTAGTGATGTTTTAATATTGACTTAGTTTTTTTCTTCAAATAATTATCTATGAATTAATTGTCAACTGAATATTTAATCATGATTTTGGATAGTTTTTTTTTACATTAACACTGATACTTAAGCCCCCATTAAAGATATGGTTAATTATACACCGGTAATTCGTATGGATGATTAAAATATCATATCTTTATCAAATATTTAACCATATGAGAATCTAATTAAAGTTCTAAAATCTAGTCATAAAATTAAAATTGTAGACCTTTGCAATAACTCTATCTTTTACATCACCCAAGATTGTACCTACATAATAGTCACGTAATTTTTCAATTTAAAAAAATTAATATTTAAATAAATAAGATAAATCTAGATAACATCACATTTTTAGCTTTATGATTACATTGTTTAAAATAACACATAATATTCTAAATTTAATCTAAAATATAATATATTCTTATTAATTTATGATGTAATAAGAACATCACATATCGTTGAAGGAGGTAATATTCAAATATTTTAATATAAATGTTTGGAACACTACTTTTGATTTATGTGATTAATTTGAGAAAAACAACTATGCCTTTTGTTCAATAATTCCATAAGGACCTAAAACCAGTGAAGAACAATTTGTTAATTATAATTTATATTTTGAAAATTCGTTTTGAAAATTGTTATTTTTGAAATAATATATTATTGTCTTAAATTTGATATTCTTCTTAGACTATGATTACTATTATGATTTATTTAGATTTCTATAATTATCTAGTTGAAACTAAGTATAGATTTTCATAAAATATAATTTATTATTTAAAAAAAATATATCTTATATATTGAGTAATATGATAAATTAATCATTAATAAAAGTAAAAACTATAATTAAATAAATTACAAACACTGTTATAATATCAAAACTTTGTCACACCCTGTTTCAGTCAGTTATTAAATATACGTTATATATATAATATTATTATTTTATACCATATATTATACACTTTTGTATTAAACTTTCAGTCAGCTTCTACTTTAAAATATATATATTTTTTTTTTTTACTGTCTTCTCTGGTTTTTGCTATTTTTACTACTAACGATTTGTACATTTTTTGCATGCCAATAAAAATAAGTATAATTCCTAGAACGCAAAATACCTAATTTAAACTTAAAATTTGCTAGCCCATCTTGAACAAATGTTATACGATAATTTACCGATATTTATTAATATATTTCGTCATGATATATATAAATATTAAAATATAAAATGTTTGGATTAAAAAAATTCATTTTGGATTTCGCCTTTTATTTTAGAATGTACAACAGGTCTAGAGTGTTTTATTAATCTTGAAAACACCAAATATTTAATAGGTGAGCCGTAATTTATTTTATTTTTTAAAACGTATAAGGTATTTCTGATGTGGTTTTTAACTTTTTAAATTGTATTCATCTAAATGCGTCTACATATATGCAAATAAATACATAACATTTTTTTAAAAATGTGTAACATAATTCATGCGTCAGTTAATTCTTTATCTCTGAGTAGGCGAGAACCACTAACAATTAAACGAAACGTCAAACATAACTTTGTGTTTCATAATTTACTTACGGTTTTCATTAAATATTTCTAAACCAAGACTATTAAGTGATATATTTTACATTTTTACTAAGTGCAATAACTTTATTATCAACTCACTAGTTTTCCAAATTAAATTTTTATAAAAATATAGTAATTATTTGTATTAATCAAAATGTTCTATGTTCTATCTTCCGTGTATAGTTACAATAGTTAACAATGCATATTTTGTTCATATTATTCCATTAGTTCGATACCTACTATAGTCGTTTTAAATCATCGGATTGAAAAAAAATTATACCTAAATAAAGACATCTTTCAGATCAAAAAGTATGTTATGGTGAATTGTAAATAATAATAAAACAGTAAAATTGACTCTTGAGAGTATTTGAGTGAAACTTATTAATAGAAATATCAGTAAATGTTGTCATCAATGATATTAATGCTTGGAAAGTTTTATCAATTTAAGTATTTTATTTTTTATACATTATAAGGGTAGAAATATATATTATATAAAACATTAAAATGTTCTGTACTACAGTTAATTTGACATTTGTAATACATATTTATTATACACAGAGATACCGTGTGGTTGTGGTTAAAATTACCACTAAATATTATATCCTTAGAGACACAATGTTTTGAGTATGGGATTTTACATAGCTTACTAAGTAAGCAACTCACATTTAATATAAAATCATAATTGCATTAAAACACAAATAAAATATATAAAAGATAAAATGTTAATAATTCTTTACTAAATATTTACCACTTAAAGTCAAATTTTGAATTTTAAATAAGATAATATTGTACTAAGTACTTCAATCTTTACCATCGAGTAGATATCTGATAACAAATTTGATCAAGTTGATACTTTCAAAGGGTAGAAACATCCAGTTTTGTTCTTAATGGTTGGAAAAAATTCACAACAAAAAAAAGGAAAAACCGGAATTGACAAAATCGATTTTATTGTTACCTACTCAGAAAGGTTTAGAGAGTTGAAATTTTCATAAAATATTTATATTACAATTTTCGAGGCATGGTATCATTTTTTTAATATTTGGGTTCTTCTTGGGCTATTATTGTAGTAATTTTGAATCATCAACTTTTCTCATTTGTTTTTCGATTTATATTGATTAAATATTGTTTTTTGGCCAAAAACTTTGAAAATAGAGTACAAGGTTTCTCATAAGTTATTATTAGAAGTTGAAAATTATCGAAAATACATGGGTAGTCAAATTTTTTTTTTATAAGATTTTGAAGTTAAGAAATATGTTATTTAATCAAAAAATATTAATTGTACCTATGGTTTTGAAATATTTTGTCATTACCTTATATTATGTACTTAATTATTAATTTTTATACAGAATAAAATTTCAAAATATACAAACCATTATATAAACAATTGACACCATTTTAAGGTATTTTAGTATTGACTTTAAAGTTATGTGAATGTGACGTTGTTAGCCAAAATTAGTTCAAGCTACATACAATTTAAGAAAATACGAATCATTAATGTATAATAACAATATTATACTATTTCTTTAGAAATCTTAAATGGATGCAAATCAACCCATCTTCTTCACACAGAATTTTTTTTTAACAATATATATATACCAACCTAATACTTTATTGTTGAATTGAAATTTAATATATCCTCAAGAATGACCTACTCAATCACTAGGTAGGCACCTATACTCGAAACCAACGATTATACGGCAGTCAGTGGAGTAAATTAATTTAATTATTTAAAAAAAAAATGTACAGTTACGATTTCTTAGAAAACAAATTAATTAATTCGTATTATTTAATAGAATGCCTAAATAAATCAGAAAACAAAAGCATCTATAAAAGTTATATTTCAAAACAAACAAAAGTTTACTTATTCAGAGGTCAGAACCCAAAATATTTTACTAAAATATGGGTCAGTAAGCTATTTTACAATTCTTGGTATAGGTACTTTCCAAACACGTGTTTTCTATATTATTACACCATTATATGGTATATATAGACAATAGACATAGTGAATACATGTTAATACACTCATTACCTTCATACACTTTGGTTAAGGTATCTCAAATATGCCAACGCCACTTTAATATAAATACATTATACTACATTAAGATTTAAGGGTAGGTACTAGGTAGGTACATAACAATAAGTTTAGATCTGTGTAAAATTATGGTACTCGTGACGTTATCGTCTATTTACATAATATTAGCCGGTAGGTTCTGCTATATATTACATTACAGTTGTATGATTTATTGTTCTACAACCAAAACGGTTTGAAAATGCATAGGCATCTCATTATACAAATTATTAAACGCCAAGATACTGTAGTAATCTAATGAAAAATTATTAAATTATAAATTAACCCAATCATGTATGGTATGATAATATGTAGCCATGTAAGTGTTCAAAATTGCCTTCTACGTTTAGAATTAAAATATAAATATGTACATCTGTAATCATTAATTAAACATGGTTATTATATATTTTGCATATATTTTCTAATAAAATATGCTCAGAATTCTAACACAAATGATACAATGTATAATACTAAACATAAAGTTACTGAACAAAACATAAAGTATTTTCATTTTATATTCTAAGAACATTGCGTTGCAATAAAAATACTTTTTAAAGTTTTAACAGTGATCTAAAATCGTATTACATATTTTATTAAAAATTCTTTCAAAAATATATTAATTTGTTTATTTCCAGATAATTTTAATACAGTGTTGGTTTTAGTGTTAAATAATCAGAAATTAAAACTGAAGAAATCGAAAAATATTTTTAAAAATCTAGTTTTTTAGTTAGGTACTAAATTCTGATTTTTATCAAAGCTATCAATATAAAATTATTAAATTCTGATGTTATAATATGAAAATAACACATAAAGTATAACATGCAGTACAACAATTTTTTAGGATTTCATTTCTTTACGGTCTAAATATTCAATCTATTGAAGATCATGAAGATATAATATCATTTAAATAGAATATCCATAAATTTAGATTAATATTCATTAAAAAATTCCACACAAAATAACAATGTACCCCAAATACTTAAAATGTATGAAATTCTTGATAATATTTTAAAGCGATTTTAAGTGAGTCTTGTGGCAAAATATAATATTATTTTTATTTATTCTTGTTCGTAGGTATATATTATAAATATATTTGTAATAACTTTTTAACGATCTTGGAAAATGTACTGGATTCACTTAAATTGTAATAACCTAAAAATAAATTATTTATGGATGTAATAAAACAACAAAATATTTTTGCGTTAAGAACATTTTAAACTACTATAATTATTACCTGGTTAAATAATGTTCCGAGTATTAAATAATAAAATACCAAACACTAAATGTAATGAGACAGTTATGTACTCGAAGTCATAATTTTTCGGTTTCCTATTATTTTTCTCAGTTTCTTTATTATTTGTTCTACTAAAATATGAAATTGAAATAACATATACTATTATATATTTTAAAGAAATTCAATTCAAACGAAATGTTATAAAATGCATCAACAACATTGTAAATTTTGCCATAATTAAATTTGATAATAGTTCATCTAAATAATTATTATCCTATACTCCAACAAATGACCTATACAAACATTTAAAATAGAACGCGTGTTTGAACATGTCCGTATATCAGATGTCAAAATACTGTTCTGTACTTTCTACAATTATAGTATTAAAAAAGAAATATGACTAAAAACAAATCAATATAGCCTATAGGTACCTACAACAGAAAATAATGATATATTATTTGTAGAATATTTTTAATTACCTGTTTCCTATAATTATTAATTACTGCTGACATTATATTTAATGTCAATTATGATTAAATACACCATCGAAACCATACTTGTTTGTAATTCAAAGAAACAATCTAGTTCAAAATAGATCATTAGTTAACATAAATCGTATGAACTATAAAACCACCATAATAATAAAATAAATAAACAAATACTAATTCAATAATTACAATAATAATTCTAACAGATATAAACAAACACGGACCTATAGCTCATACTTTTAATAATATAATAGAGGTCTGATCATCATTATTTATGCATAGTTTCAAAAAAATATATTCACCATTCCAGTATAAAATCAAACACATTTAATCAATTTAAATTGTATTATACATAATGAACAGTATGGGGAAGATTTGTTATAGTTATATTTATAGTTATAGCCTTACAGGTATATCTGTTAGAATAAGAAGAAAATCAACTACGTTTTTCGTTGTAATATTCATGTGTATTATCAATACTTTTGTCTGTCAATATATCATCGTATTTTAATCGACTTTTTTTTTATTGAAAAAATTATTTCTATGTGGGGTGGGAATGAACCCCGTAATAAAATACGCAATTGATACTTATAAATGTAATTTCTATAACTTTTATGAATATTTGAATGATTTTTTCTCATAATATTTTTGTGCTTCTTGTCTGTGGAAAACTGTAAGCTAATACGTGACTAGAGTAACCAGTTACGTTATAATATTATGGAATCTGGCACACATGTCACGCAGTTGTATCTTCTCTTAAAACCTTTAACTATAATATATAATATTATATTATATACATGTAACAAATAAACCACCAAAGTGAATTTGGCTTAAGTTGATATCCATTATGTGACATAAACTCTATTACATTCCTCTATTTTCTATTAAATTTATACCTGTCGTATTTCCTGCATAACACTAATAATTATTTATGTTTCATGTTTGGCTTCTCGTGGTTTAATATAATTTTGAATTTTTATTATTTTGACGTCCTAGTCTAACACAGGCTGTATACAATAACAATTTTAACAAATTCCAAGTTTAAATAATTCATAAAATATATATTTAAATAAAAAAATGTTTTAACTAAAATTTAAATAATACTATTTATATTTAAACCAGTTTCAAATGAAACATTAAATAATGATATTTTGTAGTTGATACATACTACCTCACTCCAAGTATCAACTGATCTGACGAGGAAATAATAATTGAGTATTAAAAAAATATTATATATATTTACTTAATTAAACCTGATATAAATTTTTTAGCTTTATATATCATCGGGTCATGCAAAAAGTGGTCAAGTGATAATTTTAATAATTGTATTATTAAATTTAAAATTTAAAATTTACATCAATCTATAATTTTCTTGCACTTGGTTTTTTTGGCACAACGTCATAGCAACTTAATCAACGTTGTGCAAAAAGTACATACCTAAGTAAAAAATAAAACAAAATATTGGAGCTATAAAAATTACAAATTTAAAATTATAAAATTTTCACTCGACATATTATGCATGACAACGACGATATATTTACATATCTGTGTTTTATTTTGTGTGTATTTGTTTTTTAGTATTGTTTTATTTAGTATCTTTATTTTTCTTATGGCATTATAGGTAGGTTCGCAAGTAATATTTTGAATTTATTTGTATAATTTGTATACCTAACTTATATAAATTAGTAGACAGTATAACAGTAGGTAATATAAATAATCTTTACGATAAATGCTTACTTGATTAATTTAATGACAGTTTAAAATAATTTCTAAAACATTTATTCCATACCGAAAGAAAATATGTACGTCTCTTTAATAATGTATAATTTGTAAATCTTTTAAATACATTTAGGAAAACCGTATTAAAATAATTGTATTTAAACTGGATAAACTATGAATCAAATCAATATCAACATTTTTACAACAATTTCTGAATTGTTAAAATTGAAATATGTTTTCAATGATTTAATAAAATAAATCTAGATAATTGATGTAACATTATAATACTTAAAAACAATATGTTATTTTATATTAATTGTACAGTTATGTACGTTAGTTAACTAAAAAAAATATACATAAATTAATGTATATATATAAGAAAATTCCATCTTTTTTAAATAAATTTTGAAAAATTATTAAAAATTCTATTACATCACTTGATAGTTGATTATTTATTCAAACGGTTGCCTAGAAAGATAATATCTAGTACCTACCAAAGATGATAACTATCCATATTTTTAAACACGTTATAATATAATTATTAACATGGTAATAGATTCTGAATATGGTTAAATAACTCGTACAACCACTCCATAAAATGAAATAATTAAAGTTGTCTTAGCTGTAATTATTTTCAAATTATTTTTTCATTAGTACAAGAGGTACGTAAATAATATAAAACCAATCTTGTAACTTCCCCAAAAAATTAACCAAATTAACCGAAAAACATTTAATTAACAATAATTTTTAAACACTAATTACACTTTTAGTCATATTTTGAACTGAACATCAATTGGTTATTAAACTCATATTATAATATATATATAGTTAATTATATTCATTGTACTTACCATAACCTATGTATGTTTTATAGACGTAATATAGAATCTTTTCTAATTTACATTATAATTATATTAAATTACTAATACATAGGTATTTTATATAATAATAATAAATAGTTATAGAAATAAGTAGTTTTAAATTTAATATGGTTATTTTCTATTTATAAGAATTAGTTTTAGTTTCTTCATTTTATTGCGTGCATACACAAATAATATTAGATAAGCATGATTTCTTTTTATTTACTTTTTTTCGTCTTAATAACTGTAATGCTTTACAAAATCATTACTATAATATTAATTTAAAAAAATATACAAAATTGTCATTTAGAGCCTTAATATTCTTTAGAGCACTGACAATTCATTTAAAACATATTTCGTTAAGGAATGATCTATAGTCCTCAGTATAAAAATTATAAATTCAAAAAGAAAATAATACATTTTTCCATAGGTACCTACTTCAATTGCATAATGTTTATGGTGGCTTCGTCGGTAGTTCTCACATTGGTGGTGCTCAACTATCATCACCGAACAGCTGACATACATACAATGGGACCATGGGTAATTTGTGTGTTTTTTGTTTAGCGAAATATAAATGTTATCAATTTTCTATAATTGAATATTTATTATACAACTAAATCAATGCATGCATGACATCCTATGTTATAAAATATATTGTAGGTACACCAGAAAGTTACTTACACAATGATAAAAATTAATAAGAAAATTATTATATTGCCAATAACCAATTATAATATTGACATGTTGTATACGCTCGCCATTTACCGAGTTCGAGCTCACATATAATTGTTACCGTTATACTATAGTATATTATACGTTTCCATTATTTCATTATAGGTTAAGTGCTTTTTCCTGCTATGGTTGCCATGGATCTTATGTATGCAAAGGCCAGGTAAAGACATATCGTTCAAGGCCATCAGAAGTAGATATACAGATCGAAGAGGCATCGAACTCCGAGAGCGATCGTCAAGAAGTTTATTAGCCAACGTTCTGGATATCGGTAAAGTAGTTTTATTTGTATTGTATTTTAGTTAAATGTCTAAATTTAAATTGAATTGTTTATTAAATTTGTACTAAAATACCAACACGTCATATGTTTCACACATTTACCTATACAAATCGCATGTTATAGTTAGCTTTGAAAGAAAAATTCAAGACAATGTAGGCCGTATAACTGTGACATAATACATGCATTTATCTGAATTGTAATCAATACCCACAGTCATTGTAAAATAGTACAACTCACTGTTTAACTTTAGGTTTAGTTTTTATATTTAAGTAAAAATTATTTAAAAAAATAAAAACGAGGCTTCTATATTAGATACCAAATGTATAACAGTATAAATTAATCAAAAAATCTTATACAAATATTATTTTTTCTTTTTAAAAATGGACTAATGATTTTTAAATAAATAGTAACCAATACACTTTAGATAAATTGTTTTTTATGGATCTAACACATATCTTCGGAAGCTATGTCCATTAGTTTTTACATATTTTGAAATAGGTAGGTAACATCAAAATCGAAAATACATTACTAATGGGTGGGTAGCCAACAACCAGTAGTTTTATTGGTTAGAATGGTTAGATGTATGACCATTATGATGAAACTATGGATTCTAAAATAAAATAATATGAATGTAATGACTGCCGTTTGTAATATTTGTAAGTAATTTATAATTACACACACCTTGTTAATCATCATCTGAAACAACAATGTGGAATAGAAACCCGTTTGTATCATCAAATAACAGTGATAAATACTTCCACACAGATATATTTTAAAATTTATTATTTAGTGATTTACGGTAACAAAACACGTGATTAAGTGTTAGTTAACACATAAAAATGTTGGCAAAGGATAAAGCATTAGATGAAAATATAGTCAAAGTGTCGAGCTCATCAATAACTTTAAAACAAAAACTTACATTCCAGTTTTAGATACTTTGAATAGGTACACAAAATAAGTGAACGTTTCAATACAAATTATTATAATAAAATGGAAATTATATTTTTAAAACACATTATCTCTTTGTAAAGGAAGTGTTTAAAATAAGTACAAAAAGCTTACTTCTAGTTTGCTAGTTGCCCTTGGATGCTTTTAACGCTTTGTAAAGTCTTTATCATAAAATAATTGCAGCTTAAGTTCTACAAAAATCTACATTAAATTTTTCAGTGAATATTTTAGTTTTCAAAACCTTGCAAGACTTCCCCACAAATTACACTAGGATGACATTGTTCTGTATTATGATACAGAAAATATTTTGTTAAAAGTAGTTCGAGGGGGGGGGAGAAGATTGGTATAAAAAGGATACTTTTAAAGACAACTGGTAAACTCCACCGTATCCCGTCTCGCTATGACCGCTGAGTCCGCTGTTAATACTTCCAATTTCAAATTTCTCTCCAGAGAATGTATTCCAAAAATTAAAATTAATAGAACCCCGTTTAAGAAGTGAATTTAAACAAACAAACGAAATAACTGATTGGAAAGACTAATCACAATTTTTTTTTACTTCTGCTGATAACTCTTGTTGGAGGGATATTCCAGCATACAAAATACATGCTTTGCTATAGTCACGCGCACGCCTGCAAAAATTAACTGGTTGGAAGAAAGCTTGTAAGTTATGATGACCTTTATATTTTGTTCAACCTTAGGTATAATAAATGCAAAATGCTTTAAGTGTAAAAATTAAAAACTGTATGTATTTTTATAATTATTTTTATAATTATTTTTATAATTTCAATGATTTTGACAAAATATGTCGTTAAAATTTGAACGTTTCAAACTCTTATAAAAAGAAAAAACATATTTTCGATATTGTTAATCTCTATAAGTGCAACCATTTATCATAAATACTATTATGATTATAATATGGTGCAACTTACGTTTTATATTTTACATTTTTAAGCATTTTTCCGAGAAACAAACATTTTCTTGATTGACTTTCATGTAGTGAACATGTATATAAAACCCAACATTTTTTCAGCTAACACTTGTAACAAACTTTAACTGTTTTATTTCCAGATCGAGTAATATCTTAAATGTATAATATGTGTGTGCCTTTAAACAAACTAAATATATTTGACATAAATTATACAGTTTAATTTAATTTTTGAATTGATTTAAAATTCTATTTGCAATAAACTTTAAATTCAACCTCGAGGTGTGAGAACTTAATCAGCTGGGGTTACCTATAAATTATTAAAAATACTGTTTTTAGTTTGCTTGAACTAAAACAATACCATAACATAAATTATCTTGGAATACAATTGTAGGTGTGGAAAATGATAGAAATAGCTTTGTCTTATGAGATATTTTTACTAACGTACCTGTATATAAAAACTAGCCCTAAAAATCATCCAAAGAAACACCAAAAATAAATAAAGTATTCTACTGTCTATTTTCAAACATTACATTCACTCAATGTTATTTAAGTTAGCCATGAAAAAATAAAAATGGAATTTAAAACTACCTATACGAAAGGTTAATAAGTTAGGTTAGCTAAAAGCTGAACGGTAAGCATAAACAATACAGGGTTATTTACCAAGCACACTCACCAACAAATGTCTCTTTAACCCTTCGTTAGTCACCACGTGGTATTTAAATACCCCTGACATGTTAAAAACATTTGTTTATTTGTCTGGAGGTAAGAATAAATGAACCTCCACAGCCCCTGATATCATTTGTGATAAGAGTATTAATGTGATAGTATGTTTTTATATTTTAATTAATATAGAAAGAAGGTTCATAAGGCATCCGGGAATTGAGCCACATTTTAACTACCTGGTTTGTATAAAATATTCGCTTACATTTTACAACCCGGAGATTGGGCCACAAATTAAATCTGTATTTTTAAAGTGTACCCGGATATTGGTCCATATTTCCTGTAAAATATTTAAAAAATTCGCATTTAATTATTTAAATATTAATTGTAGTTACATACATTCAAGGCAATATTTAGCAAAAAAATAATATAATCGATGAAATTATTAATTTCAGAAATCAATTTAGCACATGGGGTACAATATTACCCCGAGTGACTTACATTATTCAAACCAATTAGGTGACTAACGAAAGGTCAATAATAAACTTATTCAAATACTGACTTTCAAAATTTCTAAGTAGGTTAGATTAGGTTTTATACTGGACATTTTAATACTATTTGGGGTGATTAGCCAAGTTCGATAAAAATTGTTTCATACAATTATTTCTTAGAAATATCAAGTTCTATATCTATTATACTGAGGCATTATGCCTTTATGAAATCTAGTCTTATTTGTAACTTTAATTTAAGTTGCATTTATTTTCTGTTATTGATTATTTTATTGCATGGTATTATTACTTTTAATGAAATTGTATCAATGGTGGTATACAGTATTAGAATAATTTATGAAAACAAGTAGTTATTAAAATGTTAGCTTAAGTTAATTGACACAATTAGATGTGAACAACTTTCAAAACTCAAGTCTAACTTATTGAGGTATATTACCTACTTAGTACGTCTTAATAGGTATCATTCATATCACAAAATTCTTGTTTAATAACTGTTTCGGACTTGTTTCGTATGTTATCTACACTTTCGTGTTGATACGAGTTATTAGAACTATAAAAATTATAATTTATAAAACTCTATGCGTAACAGAAAATCATTTTTTTAGAACGAGCTGTGTATTTAGAATAACACAAAACTCTGGGGACTGTTGAAGATGTCTCCGATATAATTGTTCTCTATTTATAGAAATTACCTATTTCATAATAAGTTGTTTTACTTTAAAACCACTTTGTAATACCTTTTCGTTTTTTTTACGTGGACATCATTACATTATAAGATTTAATTAATATCCATTACTGCGTCATGCGTGCTGGATCCACACGGTGATGGTAATACACGATATTGTGAGAGTTAATATTATAATAATTGATAGGTATATGTAGTACAATATTGTCATCATAAATGTTTGCAAGAGGGGTTCCGGGTGTACTTATGACATTTTATAACTGGGGCCCTAAAATTTAAGTCCCAGAACATAGAGCCCGTATTTTAATCGATGTTACTAGAGTAAAAAATGTAATCTTTTCTAAAATATGTGGAAAAATATGTCTCGTGATAAAAATAAAGAATACAACTTAGAATAGTTTAAATTTGAATGGAATATCTTATTATGATTAAACGGCAATATAGATGTTATTATTGACTACATAAGTAGAAAAATAAATAAACATTGCAATTATCTTAGAAATATAAATATTAGATCTAAGGAAATATGTAACTAGGTAGTTGGTACTAGTACCTAATAATTATATACCACTGATTAATATTATGTACATGTCTTGTTAAGAGAGGACCCAATAATATTGAAGGTGTATCGACACGTTCTCGGTATTCTATTTCGTCTTTTGAAATTAAAAAAAACACATGTTAGTTACAAAGTTCAGTTATTTTCAATAATTTGACAACAATGCTGCTGTCATTATCATTGTAGTATAAAGTTCCGTGTTAGAACTATCGCTCTGAACAGCGTGTACTCGTCATCAATTCCGAATGGTGCGCCTAATGCAAAATTGACGTAGACTCGAAATTCTGCCGACGTACAGGCTCACGTCTCAAGTTATTATCGTGCGGCATGGTTGCGGTCTTTGTTGTCGGAAAAATTTCGCAAAGTCATATCATAATCGCGGTCCACGTCATTTTCTGTTAATTCGGAGACTCGCGCGTTTCGCACCTGTTGCCATACATATATTATATTATTATAATACATATTGTCTATACCCAGGTAACAATTAAAACTTATAACACAATGCTCTGTCTCCCAGCTTCACCAAGTATAATATTTACATATATTATTACGTTCGCTACTTGCTAAATTTAATATCGTCGTCTGTAGTACAAATATTTGCACACACCTCGTGAACCCACCGTGCACACTGTACGCACACATAGGTAATAACCTATACCTACATATAAGTGTATAAACTATATTATATTGTATTATATATAGTATTACATTGACACGTGTCACGAGCTTGTTGCGGTCTTATTATATTACTTAGACCCCGGCCACCACCACGGCTGGTATACCTCCGCGATACACCCCAGTATTATAATATAATATAGGTACCTCGGTTTTCCACCGTCGTACTTTGTTTTTGACTTCAAATATTAAACATTTCGGTTTCGTCTATGACCTCACGCCAGTGCATCAGCTATAATATTATACGATATAGTGTAACTACACCAGGATCATGGTTTAACGCGATCACCGATAGAGCTCCTTCATTATTCAGTGTTCTTAATAATTAATAATGTGTCTATGTTAAGGTACCTACGCAGCTATATGCTGTTTATATACAGGAGGTATAAGATCATTATATTATAGTTTGATGTTTAGTAGTATGACGACGTAGAACAATCATTTAGTGGATAATATACGGCAGGGTTAAGATGGTTAAATCTTCGTTAGTTTTCATCAATTTTTAATTCCAAATGACGTTATAAGAGTAGGACCAGAACGAAATGTCGAAATATATTGAATAATTCTTCACTCGAATTAACCTATCACATAGTTACAATATAGTGAAACATAAACCTCTTCCACAAATTAATCAATCGGCTAGTCTGTTTTTTTAATCAACTCGTAGATTGAAAAAGAGAGTTTTCAAGGAAATTATCAAATAGACAAGTTATTAAACAATTTTGAATTTTCTGATGTACGCTAATAATTATAGTAAAATACTTATTTTTTATGAACAATTATAACACAGAACTGTTGTATTTACTGCATAGCTTTCTGCGGGTCTGTTGGTTCTAAATTTGTTCAATCTCACAACTTCAAAACCCGGTGACCGAATATCTGTGTGTTTTACTGATATAATATATTTTTATCAATTACTAAAAACCTCTGAACCATTTTAATGATATTTATTGCATCAGATATTCTAAGATTTATGTCATGCAAAGATTATAACAGTAAATTGATTATACGGACTACGAGGATTTCACGAATGGCGACATCGATTTATTTCTTAAGGGAGATTCCAAACTAAATTTCGTCATGTTGATAAATAATAGCTGTGGTGTGGTATATGTGTTTCATTAGAAAATTGCGTGTCTACTGTGTATTGCACTTGAAATCATCATCTTATTGTATATTACAACAGAGGCGTCTTTATGGGGGGGGGGGGGCTGAGAAACTTGTATTCCCACCTCCACCGCATACCACGAATTGTCTGGGAATATTTTTAAGACCAAGTTTTTTTTGTTTGTACCTTTTCATTGGAATAACTTTTTTATATTATGATGACACTTTTTTCTCAGAAAAACAGACCAAAAATTCCCGATACGTAATATAGACCGTGGTCATATTATTCACCTAACCTATTATACCAGTTATTCGGTTACAAACTAATTATTATCAATTCATAGTTTTGACTTAACATGCAGAACATATAATATATTTAACTTATTTATTGATGAGTGACCAATACTTTTTCAAATAAAACCAATAAAATTTAAAAATTATCGACATCATTAAAAATACAATATTTTCACTCATTCACGAGGTATTTATAGCCATATAGGTACCTACTATTGGTTTGTAATTAATCAGTTGTGACATAATGAGTTTGAAAAAATAGGTTTAAAAAATTATTTTTCACACATAATATAATCTTTACTAGATTTTTTTGTGCTACAACTTACATTTCAGTACTGTTATTTATGACATTATGATTTAGCTGCGAATTGAAGTGCCAATTTTAAATCTTAAGCGTGCAGAGTTTACAATTACATGTATTGTGTATGACCTTTTTACGAGCTTAAAAACAATTTTCGTCATTACATAGGTTCAAAATGTTTTATTTAGATTCTCAACAGATTTCGAATTGGACGGGCATTTTACTTTTGAAAGAAGTAGTTTTTCAAATTTTTTATTAGGTACTCTTAAGTGAAATACTTATTTAAAAACAAGCGATAAACGGTGTATAAATACGTAATTCCGTAATTACATACAGTTAATCACCCGGTTTTAATAAAATCTTGAAAGAGTAAGCCAAGTTCGGTTCGGATTGGCTTATTTATTTATAGCCTTCAAATAAATAAAAACCCTTTCCGCTGTATAGCTTTACTTCTATTACACTGTGTTGCTCGTATACAATACTATATACAGCATATTGTTGTACTAGTATGAATACCTCTACACCGAAATGACGGCGTTTGCTAATAAATCGCCGGCTAATGGACAATATTGTTAATTGTTCATCGGCGTGTATTATGGCTGATGTTTTCTGATACGGGTTTTTATCGTCACTCGTAAATCGCGATAGACAATCGAATTGTATTTGTTTCTAATTCACGGTTAATTACTATTATGCAGACGATGATTTTCGAGCGAGTGTCCTATCGCACCGCGTGTACAACAGCGGGGCCGCCAGTTCGTCGTCGCCGGCGTCCGAGTCGAGGAGCGTCTGCAACTACTCGGCCAGAGAATTGCAGCTGATATTGCAAGAAGTGCGGTACATCACCGACCACATGCGAAAGCAACAGGACGACCAAGAAGTGATCAACGACTGGAAATACGCAGCGATGGTAGTGGACAGGTTCTGTTTGATAGTGTTCACTTTTTTCACATTAGTCGCCACTGTTGCCGTAATGTATTCAGCGCCTCACATAATCGTTGAGTGACTCAGACATTGTGTTCACTTTTTGGATGTCGATATGGCAGTCATGATTTTGTTAAATATTTATTTCAGAGAGTATGAGTTGTTTTGAAATATAATATTAAAAGTTTTTTTTTGTAATACTATAAAAAAAATCGACGAAGAGCTTAGTAAAAAAAAATTCTATGATACACAACGCATTTACAGGGTGTTAAAAAGATCACGGGCCAAGAATAAGTCCTTCTAAATAATTAAATTACAGTGTTTTAATTTTAATCATCCCAAATACACCCTGTTTTTTAAAATATTATTTAGATTGTTTTTTGTTGCGTACTCAAATTTTAAACGGAATAGTGGAAAAAATTATTTATTTATCTGGTTATTATTATTATTATACTGCAATAATGATAATAACAATTTTATCAAAATGGTTATTATTCTTTTCATTATTATTTGGTATTGTAAAAATTATCACTACTGCCCATAATAATTATTAAGTTATATAACTTAAATATAATTTGAAATTATGGTTATTTTGAATACCTACAATTATTATTATAAATAATTGTCTTTCATAAGTCTTAACATTAAACATTATGCGAGGGTTCAAATATTACAAAATATGTTATATTAGGCCCTTTAACAAATTTATTTGCCTAGAAATACTCATCTATACATTTTTTAAGTTTCTATTATGAATTATTTTTAACACTCGCAATACTAACATTTTAAAAATCTGTAATGTTATATAATTTTTAGTAAATTGTTTGATACTAATAGTTGGTGGATATTGACAGACGATACGCGATCTCAGGTAATTTTAAAATATCTAACAACAATAACATAATATATTAACCATTAAATTTATTTTAGAACTTGGGTAGGTATAAATATGCCTGCGTCTATATACTATACACCTATTTTATTATATTATAACTTTCCAAGCTATACCTAAATCTAAAGTAGGATAATTTAAGATATGTTAATTATACGAATATGTCTTTCCGACACTATCTTCTCTACAGTATAAACAATATCAGAAACATTGTTTTGTTTTTCATTGATCCAATGGATATTATTATTAATTGTTTTACATATGAGTAAGTTAAATTAGTTTTTTTAATCTTAAAACAGCCAAAATAATAAAGTATCTTAAAATATAGATTAGATAATAAAAGTGTTATAAATAGGATCCTATTACTGTGTATACTAAAATACAGTCATCACTCATCAGATACTGCGAGAAACATAGAAAATAAATAATAAATATCTGTTAAAACTAGAGAAAATTAAACCATTTTGATAACTATTTAATTGAAATTACACCAAGTCGTTAGCTCTTTGAGATAAGCAATGTTTTAAAGGGCCATTATACAGAATCGAAAATTGGAGTTTATAATATTAAGCCAAATAAATACTACGGCATGTCATCATATTACATCGGCTTAAGAATTTTTTTTTGGAATATGCATGAATGTAAAAAAAATTCTAATGCCGACATCTGACTCTCAAAATTGTTTCATCAAGGAACACTGCGTTTTGTGGTATTCGATTGATAAAGTCTGATGGTGAAGTACATTTGTTCAATGCATTATATTAAAATATCATATAGTTAAGCATAATGTTTCATGGGAAATTTATATCCGTTATTTAGTAAAGACTTCCAAGCATTAATTAGTATAGAAAAATTAACTTTAACATTTAAGGTTATTTAATTTTTATAATAATAGTTTTTTTATGTAGATATTATAATTTTATTACGAATAATAAAATATAAATAACCAATAATATTATTTAAGTACCAGCTATATTGTTTACGAGCTTGTTTTAAATATTATATATATTTTATCGTTACCACAATCATTTAAGTTTATATAATTTGTTAAGAATTTTAGCCCCATCAGATCTCAGGTCTTGTATTCATTGATAATAATTTTCATTAATAATGAATATGAGAATGCATAATTTACTTTAAATGTATTTCTATATTATAGGTATTGATATGGCCACACTTAAATAAATAGTATCGTTAATTATTGAATATTGAGTTTTAAAAAGTAAAGATAAGCATAATAAAACGTGAAATAGGTAGTAATTTTATTGAATTGAGATTTACTGGATAAAAATGTGTTCATATTTTTTTTATACATATATTATGTAATTTATAACCAAGTGTTTTACTATTAAATTTGTACTACATAGGCATTTATAATTACTTTTTAATAGAATTCAAAAACTAATAAAACCACTTACTATAAAATAGTTTCATAAAACTTACCAGTTATAATTAATTAAGCTGTTAAATAAAATATTTCATTCGATTTGTATTTACACTGTGATACACTTTAAGCTAAATTAAAACAATAATATATATTATAGGTACCTATGTCATTAACTGAACTAATTGGATTAAAAGTAATAACAGGATATTTTTTGTCTTACCAAATACTCGATTACAGTGCAATTCATATAATGGTCATCACATAAAAAAAAAATTAACCGAAATTATTTTATAGATATAATTATATAAATATCATAGTAATAATATCGTTATTTTTAATTAATATTTATAATATTTGTTTCAATTATATTCTCAAAGGTTTCAATTTTTTTATCATCCGCATAACTCATAGATACTAATAAACTTATAAATCATGTTAAAATATTAGTTATTGTAAATTAACTAACACTGGAGGATTGTATTCCCTATTATCTCATATTTCCGATTTAGAGCTAGGTACAGAGAAAAAGCAATTGGTATGCGAAGTAAGAACAATGTGGTTTTTTATCATTACCTTCGCTTTTCGGCATAGTGAGTATTCTCCAAAATGTTCATGTTGCATTTTTATAAATTATAAATTAGTCACATTATAGAATATCAAGATTTTTTTAAGTTTAATTTTAAAATATAAAAATACTTTGCTTGTTTCAAATTTGTTTTTCATTTGAGAACCATTTTGATAATTCAGCAATAATTGCTCAAAATATTTGTAATCCTAATGGTGACTTTCTCAACAAGCTAAAAAAATATTCGTTGTATAATTTTTTTTACAGTTAATTAAATATCCTTTAAGATCTATAAATCTATTGACAAATCAACCGTCAATTATTATTTATTATTTAAAAAGAAAAAAACAGTTATAATTGAAACATTTTTTTCCCAAACCCAAACTATCATTGAAAAAAAGTTTTAAAAAATCGATGATAATTACTCAATAAGTAACTGTATTACTATAAATTAACTATTTTCCATTTTGCTTTTATCAATGCAATTTTCACCGATTATATTATGATGAAATCGTTTTAAAAAGTGACATACAATCTCTTGTTATAACATACTGAAACATAAATTATAATAATATTGCATTAAGTTATTTGACTTGAGGTTAGATGTTTTTCTCTTTAAACTATATAAGTTAGGATTATAAAATTAAAAATGTATAGAAAATATAACTAGTGATGGGAATATTAATTTTAAATACTTATGTAACTGTTTTTTGTCACATTTTGTATTATTTAACAATTGATTTTAGTACCTATTAAAATGACATTAAAATTCGAGGAATAATGAATTATAACAAATAATAACGTATTTTTAATTTATGTCGAAAATGCATCGTTGCAAAACACCAAACAAAACTGTACTCCTGATTTTCACTATTAAAACTATGCTATAAAAATAAATACTATTATTTTTAAACCTAATTATTTTTTTTTAATTTTTGTAAAATTTAGCCAAATGTTATTATTATACTAAAGTGCTAAATCTCTAATATTTATACTGTCGCATAATATTTGATTTGTGAGCCATAATATATCCTTTAACCCATGTTTAAATCTGTCATCGTTCGTCACAAAGGAGTACAAAACTTTAAATTAACCCGATTGACCACCAGTTGTATACATTAAAATATGAATTAGTACAAACACTTGAATATATTTTTTAATATATACCTATCCAAAAACAAAGTCCTTTAAAAACACCATTTAGAATAATACAATAATTATAACTAAAAATTGTGTAAATGTTCCATGCTTAACGGCAAAAATTTCGGCTCTAAGTAAAATGTGTATCTAAGTGAATAATGTGAATATTCATAAATAAAATTGATTTAAAAAAAATCAATTGTATGTAGGTAACTATATTTTAAGTATATGTGCAAAAGTAATTTTAGTGTCTGACAAATGTACTTACTGATAGTAATTTTCGTAAAATAATTTTACATTAAAATAGGTTAAGGAAATAACAAATCCTTAAAAATATGACTTTGAGAATTTAATTTAAAAAAATTAATGATATTAAATTATTGATTGATTAGATTATGACTTCAATAATATTGTAGGTTAAAGTTTTTAAAATAAGTAATTTATTATGTTAGAAACCTAGCGAATTGGTTTGAGATAACTTTTCTTTGTTTAAATTTGTTGCTCATAAAACATGGAAAACATAACACCGTATTAGGTGTGTAAAATAAAAACAAAATATTTAATAACAACTGTGTACAAAGAATAATTAAGAAGTAAATCGTTAAACATGTTTTTATATATATTTAAAAAAAATGATGTGTATAAATAAAAAAAAAGATAATTTTAAACAATAATATTTGTATATCTAAAGCCTCAAAAAGAGAGGTTGTTATTTCTTGAGTATGTTTTTTTATTTATATTGTATGTACTAAAATAATAATATTGTATACTATTATTATGTAACATGACTATAACCAGTTAAAATACATTATGACATGTAGACAATGTTACGAAGTTTTGTATTTAATTATTTGTGTACCTACTCACCTACTTAGGTACCTACATTACATGCCAACCGGTGGTTCCTGTTATATAAATCTTAACCACGGAACGAGCGTTGTTCCCAGCAAAAAAATGGCTGTCTAAACGTCTCGTATTTATAATCATATTTATTAACTTTTAACACAAGTCGGAAGAGGTGACAATAATATTTTTTATAAGTTTCAGCGTATCCTAAAATGTGGCTACCAGTGATGCGGCCGCCGACTTCATTATAATTACGGCGTTTATATATATATATATATTTATTTATAGGTACGAAAATCAATAAATCAACAACACCCTCCAGCAATTTCAGCCGCCTGGTCGTAAACAGACTTCGGCAAGACTATAAATAGTGTTGAGCCCCGATAGTATAGGTAAAAAAGGAAATAAAAAGTCATCTTCTTAATGCGGTAAATTGTATCTGAATAAAGATAATAAATACAGTTGAGCTGGACCATACCTATAAAGATAAATTCATTTTAATCGAGATAAATACCAGACGAGTTGAATTTTAACTACGACTTATGACGGTATATTAAAAACATACCTGTATAAAAAATGTACACAGATGTATCAAACATTTCGAAAATATAGGTATATTATGGACTATGGGTATAGATAGTGATAATAATATGTTATAGGTATTAATAGGTCTGCAGCGGAAGAGACAAAAAATCATTGGTCGACGTACTAACCGATCTCTATTCTTTATTTATTTTATTTTTCATAATATGCTATTACTTTTAAATATAATATATGTATAGGTAAAATACAGTTCAATCAAAAGACACCGATAGTCGATAGTTACTGCCGCTTCCGGTGACGACTGTTGTTCATTCAAATTGACGACAGACATCGGAAATATATATAAGTTCAAATTATTTTATAACTTTTCAACTTTTCTTTGACAGGTATATCATTATGATTTAATATGATATTTATAAACAAAACTGTACAGAAAATAGTCTCTGTAATATTTATGAATTTTTTAACAAGAATATGTAGTATTGTAGTATCTTTGTTATCTTAGTTATCATTGATCGGTTTACAGTACAGTTGTGCTTTTTAGAAATTCTCATGTATATATTGTTCTACTGGACATCGAAGTAAAGCTAAGGCAATTATTTTTGTATGAGCTTATTCTGAAGAAGTATCGAATAGGCCAACTTCGAACATATCATGACTGCTTTGTAAAATAATTAATTTTTCATGAACGTGCAATTTTCTCAATTATAATGAGTATTATATTTAATAATCATTTTTTTTTAAAATCCAATGCTGTTTAGTTCTGAGTTAGCATATACATGACATGTATATATTATACATATATACAATATACGTAGTCGATGACCCACTCTAATCAATCCCGTGTAGGCATATAATTTAATATTTTATTTTTGAATTCTTATTGCTATTTGTTTTAAACTGTTTGATTACTATAGGTAGGTAGTTATTATTGAGTTTTAAGTACTTTAAGCTATTCTAAATTTTTGTTCTTAAACGTGGATTAAAGTTAAAAGAATAATTTAAGAGTAAAAAAAAAACAAAAATAATCCCTTAGAAAGGCTTTGGAATCGATGCGTGACATAATGATTTGACTCATGGAAATGGCCTAGACTGATGTGAATTTTTAGTTTCCCCTAGCATTGATCAATACCGCATCAATCATAAGAGAGTTTGTCGTTTTAAAAAAAATAATAAAAACATGTTAGAAAGTCTGTAAAATGTTTAAAAACTGATTTCCTACAATTTGCAAAGTAGGAAACAAGGACATGCAAAAAAAAAATGATAGTAATGTAAACATTTCAACATTCAGATGATAATATTTTCGGTAACGTAATTTACGTATATTGTTCATTTGAATACCTTTATTTCCTCTGCTGATCTTGTTACCCAAGAAGCTGAAGTAACATCAACATTAATGATAATAAATCATCGAAATGCATGGAAGTTTAGCGAGCTGGTGTCCCTGGAGATGTTGCATGTAAGTAGTATTTACGCGTTGTCGTAACTACCGTATACCTATATACCTATACAGACGACCATGTTTAAGTAACTTCTCTCGTATGGTAATATTTTGTTCGAAAACAGTTGAGTTGAACGCTAGATTGCGCGAGTTTTAGTAGCACCTCACAATGTAATACGTATACGTTTGCTATCAGCAGTTAAGTCTGTCAATAAAAAACGAAAATCGTTTAAAAACCGTTGCTCTACAACGTCTACGTTACGTATGATAATTTTTCAATCGGAGCACTAAAAAAAAAGTTGTAGTTAAGATTTTCATAAATATTACTACCTAATAAGTACATTTAAGAACTAACCATATTATCGTCAGTTCCGTCATTTTCAATAAACCATACAAGTTAATCAGTACCTAAATGAAAATCTTAATCTCACATTATATTAGGATATTGTATAGGTTTGCACCTTATTTTAGACTACAGTGTCGCAAATGACGATTTGATACCTATCGTTATATAATAATACTGTTGAATAATGATAAAACTAATTTATTGAAAATAAATAAAATAAAAGTATACAATTTAATCAAAATGTATTTATTGAAAATTATAATATTAGGTAATATATCAATTTTTATATTTTTTTATTAAGTTGTCTTGCAGAATCAAAACAAAGTGCTCGTGTGTCAAAAACAAACTCACAGTATCACGGTATATGTTACCTACCAACATTTGATACACTGTGAAACTTTATAATATCTATTGAGAATAAGAAACTGTGTGTGTGTGTGTGTGTGTGTGTGAGTGTACAGATGATAAAAGTATTTTGATATTTGATAAATGTTTAGAGTTTACTTGGGTCATGTGATTCCTAAAAACAGATGACACCGTATTTATTCTATTGCCTGTATAATGTGTATAATATATTATCTGTATGTGAAATGTTAATGTCCCTACTACAAACAAAAAATAAAAATAAATAAATAGGTAGTAAGAAATAAGAACCTATTTACGGTAGCCACGTCGAATACCCTACCCACCGCTGTTGCCCCAACAACATTTAATTGTTTTTATTTTTGTTTTTAAGTCCTCCAACTGATGATGGTATCAAAATTATTTTTTATATTATTTTGCAATAATTAATCAAACACATATTTTTATTAAAAATTATATTTTTTTGGTAATATGGTAAGCATTTTTTTCAAACAAATGAATCAGTGTTGGCTGTTAATTATTATTTTAATAAACAGCATTATCTAGATTCTAGATAAATAATTATTCAAATTATAGTTTACATATTACCCAAAAAATTTAAAAAAAAATTGTTATCTGGTGAATTGTATAAGAAAAATTGAATATACGACAGTACGCATCGAATAGCGACTACTGTTGTCCCATTTCTGAAGTTTAAAACAAAATTGTTTTTATTTTTCTTTAAAAAACATGCCCATCAATGATAATATTAAAATAATTTTAAATATTATTATATTGCAATATTTAATACTACTAATATTTTAATATGAAACTATCTTTTTTTGGAAATATGATAAACATTTTTGTTCAAATAGATGAATCAGTGTTGGCAGTTAATTATTATTGTTGCTATAATATAATCAGCATTATCTATACAACAAAATTAATCATCTTAAAATGTACATCCTATCCAAATAGTTAAAAAAAAAACCATTTTTTAATGTATTATCTTAGAAAAAATGTATGTTATCTAAGTAATTTGTCTATACGACTCTCACGGTACCTATACTTTTGTACATTGTTCATCCTCTAAGATGTTTGAGTTTTAAGCTTATAACACAACAATTATCAAAAAAAAAACATCGATGCATTCTCTATATTCCAATAAATCTAAACTCGGCGTTTAGGTGGAATAGCCGAATAGGTCAGAAAAAACATAATATTAATCATATAGTATCGATCATTAAGTTGTAATGGAGGAACTTAGTACTTTACTTTACGATAATCTACTGCCAATGGGTATATAATTTCGTTTTCAAGCCACCGGGCCTCATATCTAATCATATGCCATAATAATAACTATTATTGTATCACATTATTGTACAGATTGTTTTGTTTAAATTTTCAATACAATACAAACCCCAAGGGCACCCCAGCCAGCATTTCGCTCTCTTTGCTGCCACTCGCAGCAGTTCCGTTTACCATATCATTGAATTCGTCATCAGATTTGACCTCACCATCTTCGCTGGTTTCGTCAAACCATGTATGTACCGGAAAATTATTACCAGGCCGGATACGCAAAAAAAAATATAAAGATTCGGACAACCAAAAGTTATGGTTTGGTCGATAAATAACAACAATAGTTTGTATTTCAATTCTTCGACTGCACAATAATGTTCGTAATACGTACCTATTACCCATGTATAGTTTGTTTTGTTATCAGTTTTTTCCCCAAGTTTGTGGATTGCTTATTTGCATACAAAGACTATGTATAATAATATTAACTATTGAAGTGATTGACTCATTGTATAACACAATAATACAACAGTTTTATGTCAATTAAATTACTGCGTTTAATAATTGTTTTCCACTTATAAATTACATTATTAAATATAACATTTACATAAAACTAAAAAATATATTTCGTTCACAGTTGTTGTAAACCATACAAAGAATATTCAAACATGCTCTAATCAGTATAAAATTATAAAAATAATAACACAAAATCGACCATTATTAGTCCTAATTGTATTTAAAACATTATTTCGCGTTGCAATATAAATAATAATAAATAAAATATACATTAAATACCGTTGCATGTTCACACACAACATTACAATATCACGAACTCCTTAATCGAAATCCTTCATCCTGTGAGACGGCGTGTTCCATCCACTTCCGCTGGTGGAGGTGGAGATGGGCCGCGGTCGAGAGGGATTATTAGGACCGGAAGGCGGCCGAGTCAAGGTCCGCGGTGATTCGCAAACCGTTCCGCGAATGGCGTCAGAGACGGTCGCTCTGAGCACGCGGTAATTGACGTCTTCCGGGTCAAAGTTAAGAACCTGGAACCGGAAGCGGGGCATCCTGTCGCTGAGCACCCACAGGTTGGAGTCTAAATCTACCTTGATGTCGCCCGGGAACTCAAGCGTTTCAGAGTCCTGTGCCAACACGGCCGAGGTCTCGGGGGACAGGTGGTCGTGCTGCTTCGGGTTCCAGCAGCCGATAGCGTCCTGGTTGACGAGCGAGTAGAAAACTGTGCCGGTCACCTCGTCCGCGGTCATGGGGCCGGCCTGCATTCCAGCGACGCGGTGGCCGAGATGCCGGTACTCTTCGAACGTATTCGTGCCGCTTGTGTTCGACTGCAGGACACTCGTGTCCACCGAGAACATCCTGGTGCTGGACATTGACTGGAAGTAGAGCGTCCGGTAACCGTTTCGATGACGTTCGGACAAACCCAGGCCGAACAGACCGTCCGGCCACTCAACCCGAACACCGCCGATGTGGAACACGGTGGCCAGAGGGTCGAAGTAGAAGTAATGGTGCTCGATCCGCCTGACCGTATTCTGATAGTAGTCGTACACCAAAAGGCCACCGCCAATGTCCGGAATGTAGGCGAATGCACGGTTGCACGAACTCGAGTCCGTGTCCGCCAACACGCCCGGGAACCACGTGTTGCCGTCCAGGCGCAACAAGTTTTGGGTGATGACGAACTGCCGGACGACCTGGTCAGTGTTCAGGTCGAAGATGAACAGCTGAGGTTGGCCGAGCTTCGTACCGTTCGAGATTCCCATGTCGATCGCCCATAAGCGATCACACTTGTCCACACTTATCCGGTACGTGTTGATGAGATGGTCGGTGGTCGGTTGACCGGTGGCCGGCAGCCGGTTCATCTTGTAGTTTGGATATGGCACCAGCCGAGGTGAACGGTTATGATTTGGACCTGCAAAATTCAAAATTGTTGATAAGATATATGAAAACAATTTGAGATTGATAGGTACGTATATAGGCACGATAATGTGCATATAGATCATTTTCAACCCCCCCTCTACTTTAACATTGGATTCCGGATTAGAGGCTGCAAACAGTTACGAACTATTGGTACCAACAAGTTTTGTACAATTATCACAACATGATAGTGCCGTGGTGGGGTCAACTTCATGCACGTTAAAAATTAAACGAACTGATTTGTATACAACTTCAGGCTGACAGTGATATTGACATGGCCCCGCTTTTTCAGTTATTATTAATCGTTTTATCAAGTCATGTAAAATTGTATATGCTCGTGTTGTCAGAGATTTTTGACTCCCCCCCCCCCCTAAGTCAAATTTGTTTACTTAAGAGTTACGATTCGAGTTATAAGGACATGACTGTATACTTTGTTTTTGACAACGCGTCTTAAAATTAGACACTTCTTCTGGAAACGCTTTCTCATAAAAAAAAACCGAAACGAAAACTTAAGCATCAGCAATTATTATTTTCAATAAAAATTGAAACTTTGACTGGTATATTAGTTCAATATAATTATTTTATTCGAACCTCTATGTTTACAATATATTATAGCATAATAATGATAACTATATACTCCATTTTAACAATGTTTTAGTTATACATAATATTATTAACTAATTATTATAACTGGATAACGATGGACACACAAACCATACAAACAAACAGGCTACAGGCACACTTATATAATATTATTTTTGAAATAGAAACTTGAAAATAGCTGTTAAAAAAATGTAGCACTATAATTTGTTAACGCGCGGCCATATATTATTAGACATATAATTAGTATGTATAACATAAATCAATTGAAAATGTCAACAATTAAGAGGAAACGGAATCTTCAACTTCCACTCAAACACAATATAATATAGTATTCATAGTATTATTTTAAAATTTCATTAGTAGTTTTCAATAACTCGTTTCAAGTCCAAAACACACCAATAGTACTTACTATTATAAGCATAGGTATTAAAACTTATAACTACGTTTTCAGTAACGCGAGACACTCATCATAATATTTCATAATGAATTAATAAAATAATAATTTTAAAAAAGTGCATAATGCATTTGTCTCGCTTCGCACACCTCAGCGCAATACCGCAGTTCATAATTATATCATAAAATAGTGATGGTTATTAATTAGAAACAAATAACAAACTTTCTCGTTCTAAAAGTTAAAGTATAAAACTATAAAATAATTGTTTCGACGTTTACTGCGTATTTACTATATTATTTAAATTAATACATAACTTGAGGCAATTTTTGAAGCCCTTAATACTTAGTACTTTTACAACTATAAGAGGTATTTGGAAAAGACAACTTCATATTAAAACATCGAAAATAAATCGAAATACTAGGAAAACCCATCCTACAGATCTAATAGTGTTGATGACGTCCATATTATACAAGTAATAAATGTATTTTTACTAATATTGTAACATAATTTATTTTGTGTTTTCAATTATTACATTAATATTATTTTGTTACTATTTTTTTTCTGGTTATCGTACTCTGGCGGCCAACTTGATGACGGCGGAAATTTCGATTTTGTTTTCGTACTACGAACTATTGAGTATTAATAATTGTTATTACTTCTTACAATTCATAATTTATTTGTTAAGTATAGTTTATAGTAAATAAACTACTACTGTTTTTTTTAAACTATGATCAAATTGTGTAGAAAATTAAAAGGTATAAAACGAAAACAGTTATAAGTAGACACAAATTAGTTAAATAAAGAAGACTTTGAAAATTGTTAGCAATGTAGTTTATTATTCGAGTAATTACACTGCAGTTAATATTTTTGGTTTTTTTTTTTACAACACGGCAATTTGTTCACCTATGTAAGGACATAGACCGAAGTTCCCATGTGGTTTTTATTCCAACAACCGAAATGCGAAGTTTTAAATTTTTTATCCATAACATTTCAAGTATTCAGTTACATAATATTATACTCTGAAGTATTCATCAAAGCACTGCATGGAACCACGTCATTTTAACAAAATAAAAATAAAAATACAGCTTCCTAGGTAATTATAGTACATAACCGGTTAAAAATAACGTATAATTTCCTTCAAAACAATTAAATTTGTCCGTGAAAACAAAATTTGCCAAATATGCTTCAGTTACAACAACAGGTAGGTTAGTACGCATTCGATAGAATAATATTTTAATAACGATTTTTAAATGGGTAAAAAAACAACACAAACTGTTCAAAAATATTTTTATTGAAAAAAAAATGAACATACAAACAATAATACTGTAATGCGTCTATTTCAATAAAATATAAAATAATACATATTAAAAAAAAATCATGTACTCAATTATTGTTATACGTAATATATATACATGTATCATATATAGGTAGTGTAAAATAAGTACTGGATTTCGTGAGGTATGAGGAACCAGCGATTTAGATGATTGGTAGGTAGTAAAACGGCGTGCGCCATAATCACTTGTTGCATCTTCTATTTGATGTCGCAAACGGTGCCCCTGATTACGTCCACGACGGGGGCGTTAAAGATCCGATAATTGGTTTCGTTGAGGTCTAGTCCCTTGTACAAGTACAGCGGTAGCTTGTCGGAGAGCACCCACAGCGTTCCGGTCTTGTCCACCTTAAGATCGTTGGGGAACTCGAGCGTCTGGCTGTCGGACGCCACCAGGTGGTTGGTGTCGGCGGAGTACTCGTCCGCGTTCCGGAACGAGTTCCAGCAGCCCACGCCGTCCTTGTTAATCTGTGTGTAGAACAGAGCTCCGGTGCCCTCGTCCAGCGACGACCCGCTGGCCTGGGTGTTCGGGCCCCTGGAGCCCAGCACCTTGTACTCGTAGTAGCTGTCCGACGCGATGCTGGCGTTCTGGACGATGTGGGTGGACACGCAAAACTCCCGGGTGCTGGACAGTGGATGGAAGTACAGCGTCCTGTACCCGTCCTCCTTGACCGGAGACAGGGCTACGCCGAATATACCGTCGGTCCACTGGAAGTTGTGGCCGCCCACGTGGAAGTTGCCGGACAGCGGGTCGAAGTGGAAGAAGTGGTGCTTCACCCTCCACGACGTGTTGGACGCGAAGCTGTACACGACCAGCCCGTACCCACCCAAGTCTGGCACGTACGCGAACGCGTCGTCACAAGTGTCTTTGGTCGTGTCCGCGATGATGTTGGCGAAGAACGAGTCGGGCTTCATGTCTTCGTCTCTGAACGTGTACTGCCTGATCAGCGTGTCCGTGTTCAGGTCGAACACCATGAGCTTGGGCGTCTGCACCAGGTTGGCCTCGCCCCACACGTCGTTCAGACCGGTGTCGACCAGCCACAATCGGTCACACACGTCGACGTTGATACGGAACACGGACACAATTCGATCGGAACCGTTGTGCGCCAAACGATTCTGTTCATAGTTCGGGTACGGTATCAGATTGGGCGATCTGTTTTCTGGTTCTGAAAATAAACGGAAAACTGTTAATACGATTTGTTCGTGTGCAACGTGAAATATAATCATATTATGGTTTTTATTATATAGCATCAATTGCGTGGTTATTGTCCGGTTTTACTGTGGGGGGGAGGTTATGGTTAGTTCGGAACACATATACGTGTAGCAAAGATTTTCCACTGAGCTTCTGGGTGGTCACCCATCCGGGAACTAGCGATACCGGTCGGTGCTGGCACTCAGAACGCGTCTGTGACTGAAGCCGAACACCGTGCCACACTAACCCACTCCATATCATATAACGGTTTGCGACTGTGATAACGTGGATTTCTAATAAGGATCAGTAAGTGTATTACGTGGGCACGATTTTCACACGTAAATTTAAGCCCACGTGCGAAAAAGAAAATTAACATTTCAATAAAGGTAAAATATTGTACATGCATAGTAATTATAATGAGTGCAAGTCTGTGAAATAATAAATACACAAACGCGAAAGAAATTATTTCGTATGTAATTAAAATTTTAACATTTTCACCGAATAATAAATATTGCAATATTTTATTCGGTCGTATGGAGGAGATTAAACTATTAATCGAAATTAAATTTTAATTAAAATATGCTTTGATAAAATACAACACTTGAGAGCAATTATTATTTTATATACCTAAAATGCTATAAAATATTATAATATAATTTGAAATAATGTCCCACGGTTATAGTTCGTATTATACGTGTTATTCAATTCAAACGTTTAATGACAATTAGTTGTCTTGAACTAAACCATAACCGTTTAATTTTAAATCTGAAATCAATGTTTTTATTTTCCTTAACCACACCATATAAATAAATACCAAATTAAATATTTCAATATACTTACGTAGGCATATTAGTTTTTATCTTCTGTACATTCGAATTATCACCACCATGCATACTAAATTGTTATTCTGCATTTAAAATATACTGAAATTTAACGATTGACTCAAATCATGCAATAGCAAGTAAATCGTACGGCGTAGCGTGTCTTACAAAAGTATTATTTAAAATTATTACCAAAATCAATAACTACGGAAATTACTTCAAACTCATTACATCACAAAATGTAAGATAACAATTTTTGCCGCAGTGTAGACAGCAGTTTTTTTTATCAAAATCTGTTTCTCCCGTTTGCGTGAAAAATCAACTTCTATTAAAATGTATTCTTCCGTTTTCTCAATTTAATCGATTTTAACGTTAAAATATATTGTACCGCCACATGAATACATTTTAATATATTTATACCTCGGCCAAAACTAACTACACAATGGAAGCAAAGTCAAACATCTAACTACAAAAAATAATAATATAAAAACAACCAAAGTCGAAGCGTATGTGCCTTTTGTCAGCCACCTGGATAATTATTATTTGACGAGACACTAATGGATTAAAATTCTACCACCACACGGGTTACCTACTATCTATGGTTTATTATCCAATCGGCAACAATAATTATTGTTAAAACGGTTCGTTTTTAACAAGCCCACCCGCTTTTGACCTACTCTCCGACGGACTGTAGTTTGGATCAATTATTGTTATTACGATTTTGTTGCAAAAAAATATTTAAAAAACAGGATACGAGAGCGAGTTACGATGAGACGCGCGTGAGAATAAAAAATATAAAATAATATAATTCGACTGTATAGTCATTGGACGAATACGGGACACGGTGTTACGACACGATGATGTCGTTTTCACTTTTCATGAGAACACCGATACAATAATAATTATTATTTCTATTATTTATTATTATTATTATTATTATTATTGTCATACACACGATCATGTACGTGTGTCTGCAGAGTACAATGATTTTGTAACTCGCGTGTTGCCAAATATTTTTATCGGTTTGTACCTACTACGGGACAACGAATGTACAAACGGTTTTTGCTTTTTTTTCGCAGTTATTATAATATTTATCGCACTTTCGTAGGCACACGAAAACTCTGTAAGCGATGCTACTGTGCCTGATCTACCTAATCCCGTCCTGGCAATAGTCCTTCGACGTACGATAATTACACGATTTGTGGTTCATATTGTAACGGACATAACAGTTTATCGCTGCATAATCAGAGGTCCGTCCGGCGGCGCGTGAAATAATAAAAAAATCGTCGGACGAGCGCATAAAATGTTTTCGTCAGCTAGATAATATAATATAATATTATTACTCTTTAGTATTATCGCTGTTTTTATATTGAAGGTTCTATATGCGCAGTCCCGTTTCGCACTATAAGTCCCGAACCGTTTTCCGGACGTCCATTATAATATAGGTCAAGGTGTTCAAAAAGTTTGGAAACGGTCATTGGACTAATACAAACTAGATCTTAATGTCTGATAAACGATAACAATATATTTTGGTATAATATTAATGAGGTGATTAAAATATGTTTTATCTAATAAATGTACAATAGTGTTATCTGTTATTGCTATAATGATATGTATTTAATATGTATTTAACATTTTTTGAACAGCCTGTATATTATTATCGTGTATTGGTGTACACCGTTTGCAATGTTTACAATAATCGAATAACGTTTGCATTACCATAATTATTATTATTATTATTATTATTATTATTATTATTATTATTATTATTATATGAGAATCGGACGCAGTACTATAATATATTATTATGTTCGCGATTATTACCATGTCCATGACAAGAAGCTCAACTTTTGCCATAACATATAAACCACGCACCCTGTGCGCCTACAAATTCAGTCGTTCTCCCCCACCAATAGGGGGGAGGGGGTGCTGTTGGACATGGAGTTCAGGGGCTCGACTATTTTGGAGGTCCGTTGAAATGAATTTGTAATTTTTGAAATGTTGATAGGCATACTTATTTTATATTAAATAATACTTGTAGTATAGCCGTATAGAGTCCGCAAAATCAATTATTATAGGAGTCCAAAATTGGATATTGGGGACTTGAATACTATCATAATTTATTACATTATATTTTTATATTATACCTACACTATACATTTATATATAAGCGACGACATCAGAGTACCCTCTCATACACGGCGGATCGTTGAAAAAATATCGGGAAAGAAAAAGAAAGTATTCGAAAACAAAATTTTTTTCATTCAGTTCGAATCATTAGTGCGGTCATATTATTATTATTGTTACGTGAGTGAGTGCGAAACGTACGTGGACGCTTAAAACCGTACGGTTTATTTTAAAATCATATCGTCTGTTTTTATATTTTGTAGGTGCCTACTCGTATAACAACGTATCAAACCGGGCGATTACGTTATTTTATAATATGGTCGGAATTAATTTTTTTATTAGGACATACCTACTATATTACTTTATTTTTCTTATTATTATTATTATTTTATCGATCGGGTATCTCACCACCTGTTACCCATCATCATAATCATTACATCATTACCTGCACATATTTTAATATATTATATGCGTATTATATAATAAACCGCTTTCAGGCGACCGCCACCGAAGTTTAACATAATAATATTATATTCTAATAACGCGAATAAACAATAGTCATAGCCATATAGGCGCCTGTGTATTATTATTATTATACAAACAAATAAGTACATGCAATGCAGCACACACAGTGATGGACAATAGTAGGCTTATAAACAATAATAAAAAAAAAAGCGACGGAAAGTCTACGACGTTTCTCGGTTTCTGCGATGGACAGATAATAAATATTATGCGTGTGTCGTGTGGGTGGTGTGCATACGCGGACTGCGGCGTCACGGCCTAGGGTCATGTGGGTCAGGTGCTCGGCGGTGGTCATCGTATGCGATTACTCGATTACACCACGAAATATTAATATAATACCCACGCAGTCCTCTGACGCCGCGGTCAGCGCACTTGACGTTATCATATTATTAATTTATTACTATTTTCGTTGTACAGGTACCTACGACATCTGAAATATATTATTATAATCTATTATCGCGTGGGCATAGCGTAAAACAATAATTACCCGATCCGAGGGACACGTAGTTGAGCGTGGACGCCACTCCGGACTTCCACCTGGGCACGGTGATGAACAGCTTGTCCCGCCACACCTCCAGGCCCAGTGGCAAATTGTTCGCCTGCACGTACTCGCCACTGGCGATGGCCGCCTGCCTGGTCCTTTGGTCGGGGAACGCAAAGTCCATTTGCTTCCAGCTGTACACCTCCCGCAGGCGGTCATTTACCGACCACACGGCGCATGTGCAGCACCCCAAAATCAGTATCGCTAGCGCTATTCTCGCCATCTTTACCTGAGAACAGTATAATATTACCTATGTATAGTTATCCCATTATCATCTGTTGTGCAAATAAGATTCATTAATATTGAGTGAAAGTTATCGTTGTCCCTTAAAGTCAAAGGAAACCCGGACGACTATACAGCTAACAAAATAATACAATCCATTTCTATCGCGTGTAGAGATAATATACATTATATTATATTATCGATATTTTACAATATATCCCGGGATAAGTGACCAGCTGGTTAAAATAATTATGATAATATGCCCTGAGCTATGAAAAAACTTTTTAAAGGAGGAGGGTCTAGCTTTTTTATATTTTTTACTACCTAAATTAATTTTAAAAATCCGAAGTTTAGAAAAAATACATTTTGATTTTGACAAACATAATTTTTACGTTTCTGGTTTAATTGTGCATGTTAGTAATTGACACACTAAAATAGCTTTAAAATGTACACTATATTTTTGAACCCACTGATTATACAAATATATTTATTCTGTACAGAAGCCCAGAACATAATGATTAATTGTGTGACTCGCCGCATACTAATCTGAAAGTAACCTACTCAACTATAGGAGACACTATACTGTAAAATAAGAGTATAAGAGTAAAAGTCGGGGTATCGATTCAATTTCTGCGAATAACTATTAGATATAGCATAGGTACCTAATTTGGTTGTTTTGATAACTCCCTAGAACTAATCTGGAATATTGACCAGACATGGACTTCTGTGTTGTGTAGAAGCTTAACAACCTCAACCCTCCCCAATGCACTGATATAAGTTGAATGTTCATAAGTGTATTATAATTGAAAATGGCTCAGTAATTAGCGAACCATGAAATGGAAATATTACGTTTAAAAAATAAATAGGTAGGTATGCAAAATAAATTTGTAAGCGCGCCTTAGGTTTTATCATAACATATTTTGTTAGGTACCATTGTACCAATGTTAAAAACTTGATATTGCATTTATTTTTGAGTTTATCACTGCAATTCGCGCACACAAATATTTCCTTTATATAGAGATAGCCCGTCCCAAGTTTTTTTTTATTCCAGTCCGCGGTGTAAGTACAAATATCTTCGAAAAAAATGCACTTATAAAAAGGTTGCTATGGTAACGTTACTAACGTAGTTATATTAAACATCATCGGTTGCCACGGGCTACCTCGCGGAAGTCCGTAGTAGCTACGCTGCATGCACATATATCGGTACATGGCTTGTGGCCATTCATAGTGGTCATGGACTCAAAGCCGTGGGCAAGGGGGTTGTTGGATGTGCTTGTGGCACCCATTGAAATTTTGCGATTGAGGCCCTAAAGTTTAAGTTCCAGAGCCTAAGGCTCGTATATTTTAATTTATGCTACTATAGTAAAATGAATTTTTTTCTAAATTAGTGGTAAAAATAAATCGTATTTCGTGATAAAAAAAATTTAAAAATGTAAAAAATTTGAAATTCAGCAGTACGATAAATTCATGAAGGTATCCAAGAAAATTATAAAGGTAAATCTAAATGGCTAAATAGGTATACCAATTATAAACCACGATTTCAAGCGTCGTCGGGACGTGCACTCGAGACTGCCGCCGTTTTGTGACCCGAGGACAAGTCGGCAGTGAATATTTTCGAATGTGTTTATACAGTAATGGAAATAACAATAAAAAAACAATGATAGTAATATTATTATTATAATAGTCGTTTATTATTATCTACAGTACCTACATGCATAGTTACTGCAGAGAACGTCGACGCGGGTACAAGGTCTCGGCCGTTTCCCGTGTCCTGAGGCTGTTACTATAATAATATGTACACAATATTGTGTACGGCTTTCACATCGAGCTCACGTTTTCCGGCATCCGAACCGTTTTATTTAAAACAATGAGAGCCCGTCGAATCCGGATCGGTGGAAAAACTGAAATGCCGACGCAGAAGGTCGACAGGCGTCATGTCATCCGGGGCCGGCGTATAACATTGTAAAGTTTTTTTTATTTTTTGCGAAATTTCAATTGTTACGAAAACCTACTTTGGGTACGCGAATAATAATTTCGTGTACATTAATTGTATTATTACGATATTGTATAAATAATATTATAATAATATTCATGACCTGCGCAGTTCGAAGGTAATTATTTTTTTCAGGCACGGAACTATCAATACTCAGCCTATAGTCTACAGGGCGGGTGATGCATTGGGTAGACAGTATGGTAGGGAGGCGATAGGTCTGTATTAAAATGGCCGTTATTAATAATGTATATGTATATACGTCGTATAAGTATTTAAGCATTTTTTTTTTAATTTGATCACGCGGGGTGGATGTCAAAAATACTATAATATACCAGGCACCCACTTAAGATTTAATAGTTGGCACCGCCAACACTGTTCATCATAACATGATTATTATATTAAACACATCGACGACTGGAATCCGTTTTATTCAACACGTATTATTACATCAGAATAATAACACGAAATTGTGTCAACCACTAAGACCGTATTTTCTATTATTCCCTGCGATATAACATTATAATTTCGTACACTTAAACGTTATTCGCCTAATATATAATGCATAAATGCATAATATTATGCGCAACAGCCGATAATATCATGCGTTGCAGTCCGTGCAGCGGGAGAAATCAAGTCGAACGTCGTGTAGCGTGCTTAAACCCGACAAATATAACAGAATGTGACGTAGGTAGTGGTCAGATGGTTTTCTACGAAACGAAAATATTATATTTTTTTTTTACCCCGAGGCTTCCCCCTTATATATCTCAGCAAATCGACAGATATTTTCGATGGCCCCGGGCAAATGCCAAAACTAGTATTATTAATCGTTTCGTCTTTGTGTTCCTATATAATATATTATATATTATTACCTATGTTGTTTTTCTCTTGGTGAAATGTTTTTTTTTATTTTCATACCATTTTGGGTGCATGGGTAATAAACAGAAAACATGTAAAATTAGTTATTTAGGTAATTTAATTTTGATTTATATCAACACAACTTAATTTATTTGTATATTAGAAATTATAATAGGCACCAACTATTGTTTCTATCGTTTTTTTGTTTTATTTATTGAAATTTAAAACATTGCCTCTGCGTAAATAGTTGATCGATTGAGATTCACTTTTTAATTTAATCGCTAATCATCTAAAATCAATGATATTCTAACCCTGTACATTCCACCACAGAGAAGGACGGTGTTATACTTAACATTTTACAATTATATACAATAATTATGTAACGACAATTAAAATTATCTTGTATTTTACACAGATATATATATATTATTATTTCAGAAATCTTATGATTTTTCATTTAAAAACTTAAAATGGATTTAGTGTGTTTGGTTTAAATTAACTATAGCTATTTTAAGAAGACATTAAATGATTAAATGGTTTAAAATATTGTCAGACTTAAAATTTATCGTAGACGGATAGATGTTAATATAATTTTAGGAATAAAAATATGTACAAATATCTTCTTTTCGACCAAAGGACATTAACTTTATTATGAAAATCAGAAATTATATTATTACTATCGTATTTTATAATCAAGTCTTATGATGATTATCTAAAGTTAAATTTAAAAGTAAAAACAAACAACATTGTTTATCTTAAAATTAACGGTCCAGAGGATTCCCATCGGAATGAATAATGATATACACAACAGTATATAGATATTGTACAACACTGTCTAAATTGGTAGATACTAGGTCTAGGCACCTATATACATCAAAACTCGTTAAAGATCGTTGAAACGTCAAGGTCCCGATTATCATAATAATATAATATAGCTATTATTGATATTGAGAAATCTGCGCAGGATAATACCACCAATATGCTAAAATATTATGAAGGATTACATTAAATATTAATAAAAATACAATATACGTATAGTATCTATGTTTATTGACGTACCTATTATAACACGAAATAAATTACAATTATCGTATTACATAGGTACATAGTTTTATCTGTGTCAATTTTCAAAACACATATTTTAATATGTCATTACCGTAATAAGTATAATATAATACATTATATAAATGTTATGCTTGTGTGTATTATATAAATTAAAAATCGATTTTTAGTTTCTTAACATCTATACTGTCTAATTGTATTATAATATGTATGAATTAATATATGAATCGTGTGAATACCTAATGATATTGTTTTTCTGATGTTCGCTCACAAATATTTTCATTATTGGCATATTATACAAAAATTATATTATATATAGGTAGGCCAAAATAAACTATTATTATTCAATGATTAAAAGTCATATGACTTCTCGCGTTATGCTTAGTATTTATTAATAATACAAATATATTAATCGGAAAGTGTACAAGACAGGTTTTTAAAAGTTGTTTTAATCATGTGTTCGTTATTTCTGTTTTAACAAATATCCCAATTTCACTCCGAACTTCCTCCATATATCGAATAATATAACTATTTCAGGTATTTCTCGCATTTAGGTAGGCCTCTAGTGGAATTAAAATGAAATGTCAAAGTATATGTATTCGTTATGCAACTAAATTTTTAGTAAAAAAAACACATCCCAGGTATGATCCACTAAATAACTATACATTTATATAAGTTCATCTCTACTCTCATTTTGTCTTTTGTTTTTCTCTTAGGTTAGGTCTTTTTTGATTTCTCACAACAAAGTATTTACACAAAACAATACATCATGTATGTTTAATGATTTTTGTTCTAAGACTTGTAGCTAGTAGTAAATTATTTCAAAAAAACCTGATTCAAAAACAGTTACATTTTTTATCTAGATTATTGTAAAATTTCAAAAAAAAATTGAATTAAACTTTAACTGTTTTATACACAATAAAAATAATTTCCACTAATACAGACAATATTGTTCAATGGAATTAAGTAAATGCATAATTAAACAATAAAAATAATAAAAATATTAACTTTAGATACATACATATTACATACTATGTCTTTATTTTTAATGTAAAGTTTATGTTGCTCTTAATTTCATAAACAAAAATAAAATAGAATGTTAACCTAACGCTAACTAACATACCAAAATATTTTTGATGTTGTACACGACATGTAATTCCAACTATGATAAGCAAAATAATTCTAATAATAACAAATATGAAAAAAAATCATAAAAACTCACCAGTTAGTGCTGCTACGAATGGTACGAACAGATTAACTAAAGTCTATAAAGCAGACCGCAGAGTCGTCGACGAACAGACAACCATCGGCAGCAGTGGATGAGAAGGGGCAACCAGTTTCCACCTTCGAAGGCCTTGTGGACTAAGAGGTCCCCGCCCCAATAATTATATTATTATTAATAATAATTACTGTACTAACTGGTACCCAACTACATTCGATCATAATAGTTATATTGTTATAAGTATTGCCAAATTCAATGAACCTAAATGGGTAATTCTATATTGATTGATTAACAAGTACAACTATTATATTATTATTGTAGTTAGTTAAACCTATCAAATATATATTTAATCATCAATAATCATCGATGTATTACATAAACATTAATCATAATATCCAATAAACATTAAACAGTAGACATACAAGTGCGTGTATTTATACTAATACTCTGTAATGTCCATGTATCGTGAAGAATGTGTGTGATTTGGGACGGTATAAGTATGACATGTGTGGTTACAAATAAATTGTTTGTTATTGTGATTCGTGAGTTCTAAACCACATTAACGATACCAAACAAGACCTTGTTACGCCGGAAAATTATAATATAATATACTAACATAGTTTCCTATAAATTCAAAACTAAATAAGCCGTCAAGTAGGTGACCGCTCTACTGTACCTACCTACAGTTAATGTCGGGTGTATCTTGTCATTGAGTAGTTCACTGTAATGAAGTATTCGATTTGCATTCAATGATGAATCATTGTATATAATGAAAAACATTTCTGAGCGGAGGCGGTAGAATAGTTATTTTGGAATCCATGGTTACCGATTATCGTTCGTATTTTTACCCCCCCCCCCCCCCGATTATTTAAAAAAGTTCTGAGAAATTTGTATTAACACACTGAATCCGATTTGTTCCTTAAAACTACTGGAGTAAAAATCTGCACTTTACCTAAAGTGTAATAAAATTAAAAAGAGACAATTTTGAACGGCCTTTAAAATGCCAGTAGAATGAACTAATCATTATATGCATGTGTGATTGAAAAAAACTCGATTATAAGAAAAGGGCGTTAGTAGGTATGCGTGTGTTGAATATTTATTAAAAATATGAGCTACAACTTCTAGTTAAAAAAAAATAAACATTGAATATTCAAACTACCTGTCGATAAAATCTTATATAATTATAAAAGTATGTACTTTTCATCTCGGCTTATAATTACATTTTTTGTAACGTTGTATTTGATATTTGATTTAATAGACAATAGTATAGGTATACAATATGGTATATACATAACAATAATATTATTTAGGTATTTAAACATTTTATGGTTTTATTTTGTATCCTTAGGATGCGGTCATGCTATGATGACATTTGGTTTTACAGCTCCGGTTTTCATTTATTATGAGCTACAACTGAATTGTTCAATCTCGCACAGTATGGCAGTGTTCTATGTGCGGCAAATAAGCTTAAAAAAATAAATTATGAAAAATCCGTTGTGGTGAAAACGCATGGTATGACCCTAGCCTCGATATACATATTGAAACATCAAATGAATTGAACCTGTTTGGTTTCGTTCAGCTATAACTAGGTAGGTGTTTTTTAATCTGTGTTTTTACTATTAGATACAGCGCACAATGACTATCAATATAGCGATGCTAAATATTATGTGTCCTACTTTTCCGTAAATCCGTCTGATTATTAACATACGTGCCTATATTATTATGAATTATGATAAGTATAGGTGTATTGTTATCATTGTTTTCCGAAAGTTTTATACACGCAAAAATAAAACAACCCGACTCTACATACGCCAACTAATATTATTATTTATTATATAACTAAACATAATATTCATAACGTAATAATGAACATAACATCGATCTCGCGTTAGTTCTTGAATCAATATAATTGTAAACAACCTTATTTTTACAACCATCTATAGCATATGTACCTACTCACTGCGCAATATTATTACATACCAATGTAATAATTAAAGGTTTTACAATTATAGTGAACGTCGCAAACTTTTCCAAAGTTGGTCACGGCGATTGGTGCACGGTTTTCAGGAGGATGTAAATTACAAAATTATTCGATTTTTGCTTGACTGTATTTTATGTGTACCCATATAATATATTCGATAATGCGTTGTATAGCAAACACATATTTTGAAAAATGTCTCAAGTCTCAATCATTATTAGAACATAGCTCATAAATACGGGGCGCATACCAACACTTTAGAATACAGAGTACAGATAATAATAATATGAATAATAAAAATACATTTACCGCTCTGCTCAGAATCCAATCGACAAATGTATACGAGTTTACCTCTATTTTAGATTAGGAAAATTAGTCTGTATTTGTATGGGCAAATGTCGGTCCAATAATATTTAGACCAAGTTTAAGCTACAAACATAATATTGTGTTGTCGAATAACAAAAATTTGTTTAAATAAACATGTTTATAAAACACTTTAATTGAGTTAGGTTTATAGCGATAAACTATAAATGTACAAGCATTGAACTCGATTAAAATTAAATGGACTGTGGATTATGATAATTTAATACAGCGAGGTACCTGCTTGGCTGCTTATAGGTACTTTATGTATGGTTGCATACTTGTATATGAATAATATGATAACTACAATATATCTACGCACTGTATGCCTGTATACTTACGTAATTTTAATATTTCACCCAATTTATAAACTATAAATAAAATAACTAATAGGTATGAATAATATTAAAAGATGTTAGTTCAAAATTAAAATTATGATAACTTGACATGTTTGTACAATATACTATTCTATACAATTTCGTGACCAATATTATGTATGTGTATCTATATAATCAAGCTACTTAGGTACATTATAAAATATCCAATAGTATTTCAGATAATAGTATTCCGAATGCGTACCTAATTTGCATACATTCGGTACGACGATATATCTTTAATAAATATAAAAACGCCAGTTACAATACTAATATTTTTCCCCTATTCGAGTAATCTTCTCTTGTTGTACTTAACGTAACCAGCTAAGAATATAATATTTTTCACATTTTTCTGAATGCTTTTGAAATGTTAGCATACATAATATCGTGATTATCATATTTTGTCGTCAAGTTTTAACGTTATAAAACGAAATAAGAACTATAGTCGGCATATGTACCTATGAAATATTCGTTGGACTTGTATAAATGTATAATATTGTATAATGATCACCAAAAGTTATAAATTATGAATGTAAGTAGAAGCATAAAATACAATAGCCATTTGGATGTCAAAAAATAATAATAAACCAATCAATAAGAAGTACTAATAAGTAGTAAAAATCAAAAAATTAAAACATAATAGCTAGGCATTAAAATTTAAAATAGTTTCTTATTTGAGATAGATCAATATTAGATATTTATTGAAAAATTAAAAAATGTTAATAATAAATAATTTAATACTAATTAAAATATTTTGGGCGATTCTATGTAAAAATTATGTTCCAGTTCTAGTTAGAATGGTGGGATAGTTTATGATAAAATCTTTAATAATAATTGCGAACAAAACACATTACATATAAGGGTAAAATTCGTTTAATAGACTCCACCCCTTCAACTTTGAAATACAATTTTAGTCAAATTATTGATGCCTACAGGTGGTACCTATTTAATACTAAATCGTCAATCGAATACTGAAATGATGCACTGCGTGTTTTTATTTTATTTATAAGTCATGACCAAGAATAATATTAGGTAGGTAGTTTGTTCCTATAAACGAATTATTTATTCTGATTAATAGTATAATAGATATTATTATTTGGACATATTTCACAGTTTAGAGTACTAAACTTATTACATAGTACATCTTACATGGTTAAATAGTTTCACCTTCACTACAGTGCAAGTAAAAAATAAATTATACTATATAGTATTACCATACCTACTACAATAAACTGTTGTCCACTCTTTTTCCTCGTCCTTGAAATCACTTATACTGTTCTGTGGACTGTGTTTATACGCCTAACACAATAATAACACTATCAACAAAAAAAAAAAAGATATCGATTTTACAACCTTTATTTAAAATTACATTCATGGATTATATTTACCACATACGTGAATAGGTTATAATATTTAAAACTTTTTAAAAGAGTGTAGGCACCTAAACGGCTAAACAAGATAGGTACTTATTTTGTTTAATCGAATACAAAATGAAATACATTTTCAAAAATATTCAAAAATAATTGTATTTTGAAGTACAAACTACGTACCGTTGATATCCAATATCTTTTAAAAATGTGTATTAATTATAGGTAATCGTTTCGGGTTAAAAATTGTGTCTTGACTCTTGATAACAATATTATTACTACTCACATATGTTTTAATGTGTTATAATATTTTATAACATACCTACCATTATAAAAAACTAAAAAATTCGATTAAACTAAATGCTGACCAAATTGTATGAACGTTTCTGTTCAACAAATTAACATTTTTTTTAACTCGCGTTTTTGAACGTTCGATGTGCCAATGTGTTTTTTTTATTATTAATAATAATAAAAAGATAAATATGATGAATATAAACCGATAAAATTACTTTAACGTTATAATTCGCAAAACCAGGAAATTGTTAATATTTTAATAATCGAAGACCGAAATGGTTCTATAAGTCCCTCTACTTCTCCATTATTAACTGCAGGAAGTCCGGATGTTCAAACTTCAAATTCGCAGTCACACAGATTATATATTTATAATCGATTTATATCGTAGCCTTGGAATCAATATCTCTCACTAATCATTTTATAGGTACCTACCTGTTATAATATTTGAAGCGATTTTATTATTTTTTGACAAAACCCATTAATATTTAACTGAGAAAAAATTCAAAAAATTATGTAAATACTAACTATTTTATGAATAATAATTACATTGGTGTTATTGTATAAGCATATAATATATAATATGCAATTATCTTGGGAAAAAATCGAAAACGTACCAAAACAATGAATTATTATCAAGTATAACTATATATAACTATACAACTAATTTTAACTCTTTTTAAACAAAAAAATCATTTCCATTTATTTTCGAGAACTAGGACAGGAATTAAATTTAGAAAAAAAACAGGGA